TAGTTTTAGTTATGTAGTCTATATAACTCATTTGTTGCTAACTTTATGCTACTTGCATTCTTACTTTTCAACAGTTTTACAAAAAATGCAGTACCTAAAAATATCATTTAGGAAGATATCAATAGCTTCTGTGCATTTCAATGATCCATAAAGACCCATCTTATTTCTCGGCTTGCTCTAAAAAAAAAATCTACATAAAAAAGATTGACAGTCCGGAAATTGTTCTATATTTTTTACAGTTTACTTCAAGATACGCATCGCCACATGCAGAAGACTGACAGAGCAATGAGTAGTGACGTCAAACACACACACAAAAAAAAGATAACCAGGACTACCCTTGCCTTCTTGTGCAAACAATTTCATAAACAAATTAAAGCCATGACTTCCTGGCTCTCTCTTCACTATCAAAATGCTAAGAAATCTTACGCCGAAAAACCTAATAGGTCACTGATACAGGAGCAATGTTAGTTACAATAACAGAGGCACCATAGAGAAAAGGCAACACATGTGCAGCGGAAGAGTGTAGAAAAACCGCCAAGAAGCGGAATCGCCTGCCTACCACAGCCACTTTTTATGCTCAGAGAGAAAGACACTGTGCATGAGTACTAGAGAAATACTAAAAAAAACAAAGAAGGAATACAAACACATACAGGAAAAACACACAAGGGAAACATCAGGGCACAGACATTAAAAAAAATGCTTTTGAACACAGAAGCCTTTGTACACTGAACTGTAAACTGAAGCTTTGACCATGTTAGTGTGCTTTCAAAATGCAACAGAGTTGGTGGCGAACACGGGCAACTGCCTTCCGCCCGACTTCAAAGGCGACTAGCTGCTCAGTCTAGCGACAGCAGCCATCGCGCCCAAAGCCAGCGTTAGGGATGACACATTTCATTTTGGGGCAGCTGCTCACTCCCGAGTTAGGAAGGAGAAAAGGAGAGTGCCGACGATCGCAGCTGCCATCACAGACAGCCGCACGTTGGAGGGGGGAGAAAAGAAGGTCGTCATTCGTAGCAATCTTGACATTGAGAAAACTGGCCCCACATCTTAGGTGCAACCGTGGCACACCGTCTTCCTGCCCTTCCCCCACAGCTTCCCAGCACAACACCCCGCAATATCAAGCCAGTGTCGTTAAATCCCAGAGCCTCGCCATGGTTTCGCGCAGGCTCAGAAGTGCAGTGACATGGGACAGGGTTGGTGGCGCGTCTGACTGAATTGTCAGCAAACTGGGATGCAAAAACCCACACAGCAGTCAATGCAAGGTCGCTTCGGGCTCCGAAAAGAAAAGGAGCTCAGTGCACACACACACCAAGGCCAGACAACACACTTAAACAAATTTAGGAAAGGGAAAATACAGCATTAAACTCTCTATGGATGCGTTCCGGTAGTCACACGCACACACACACATGCGCACACGTACGTATGCCAGCACAAACATTCACGCGAAATGAGACACGATGCGAGATGGCCTAGTGAATCAGCCTTCAAACACACACACACACACAAGCCTGAAAACGAAATAGTGAAAATAACTACACACTACAGCAAAGGTTTGCAGAGGGACTGATAGGTGGCGAGGAGTGAGCGCGTGCCCTCGTAAAGAATGGCAGACGTCGCACGAGTGCAAGTGTAGACTGCTCGTACGAAGGCACTCCTCGGCCCGCTCAAAAAAATCTTATTTTTTATTACCAATTCCGTGCATGTCACCCACTGCACATGGGGAAGGAAATGCTAAGTGACCTTTCCGACAATGAACAGTCCTTACATGCTCACACAACTACACAGCAAACAATCATGCAGGGTCCCCGAAACTCGTAAGCACAGAGGAGACCGTCAAAAGTGCTTCTAATGGCACAAATGCCTCTATGAAAACACCGTGTCAGTTTTTGGGTTAGTGCTAGAGCTCATTCATTTGAGGCTTGTAGTCTTTTCCTTGTTTCCTCTCCTTTTTTTTTTAAGTACAAATTGATTGTTCTAGTTCATTGCTGGCACATTTCTTGCACACGTTCCTTTCAACAGGGCATAGCTCTATTAATGTAATATCCAATACGAGTGTATCATATGAATCACAGCAAAGAAGAAAAGAAAAACTTGCAGCTGAGGCACGTCATCAACAGAGCATCTCTTTTCCTCATATGAATGCTTAACCCCTTAACTGTTCTGATATATCTAGAATATCTGTCCCCAAAGTGCTTTTTTTTTTAAATTGATATTCAATACTTTCCTTTTTCAAAAATAAGTTTCTGATGATGTAAAACATTGAGGCCCATATTGTGAAACCAGCGTAATAAAGTGCTGACGTTCATGGCAAAAGGCCTACAACCTACTGATAATAAACAGCAAACACTACAGGAGCACTATTTAAAAATTTTCAGCATTGTGACAACGATTTCATTAATCTGACAACTTTATTGATTTCGATGACAAAGATATATTGTTTTTTTTGAAGCAAGATTGAGGGTATTGAAAGACCGTTGAAAGCAAGAAATTAAGAGATGAGTGCCGCCATCTGCAAAGTGACACGTAATCTAGCTCGCTTCATGCAAAGCAATCATTGGAAGGTATCTCGGACAAGTGTGGGACGAGCTACACTCGTCCAAACTAGCTTGGGGACAGATCGACTAGGGCGAGCTAGGCTTGAGCGAAACTGTTCAGGGGTTATTATAGATCTGTTCAATCGTACGTGCCAGCTAAAGGTCAGCTTAAAGAATTGATTCAGATGCTTGGAAATAAGTGCAGACAGCTGGAAACTGCAGAAAAGTGCAGATTTACTTAGGCACCTAACCTCGCAGATCACAGATGCATTAAGAAATTTTGAAAGTTAAAAACAAAGTACTGACAGACTTTTCTTGGGCAAAAGCTTGCAATAAAAACTTTATCTACAAGTGCAGGCTAAAGAAGTGTCATTATTCCTATTAGATTAAGTAAGAAAACTGTGCTTCTGCACCAGCTGTCACGGCACCTTAGAAACACTTCACTCTGAATGCAGATACACTCAAGCCTCATTATAATGAAGTTGCACCTGACACGAAAATGAGTTCATTATATCCGAAAATTAACTATAATGATATAGTCCTAAAACTGCATTTATTGCAAAGTATTCTTCATTTACTTCATAATGACAGATATTTCGTTATAAACGGGAAGATTGTTATATCGAGGCTTGAGTGTAGCAAGATATGAAGTGTACTCTAAAAAGAGAATTTAACAACAGATCTACATTAAACAGTTATTCTAGCTTTTCACTGAGTTCTGCTCTTACACAGGCAGAAGGGCTCACAAAAACTACAACCTGCTACTACAACTATCAACTAAAACTTCCAACTACCAATTGTGGGTGACAATCAGGGAAGACGACTCTGCACAGGCTTGCATTCGTAGGGCCATTAGGTATACAATTTAAAGACATTTTAAAAGAAATAGGCATATCATGCCACTCTGCTAATTACTAAGTTGCTGCTTTTGTCTAGTGCATCAACTGGGACAAATTACCACTAAAGTGTTGCCGAGTATCACACTACCTTTTCTGGTCAGCTGCAGCAGAGAATAATTTTTAACGATTACCAGCTGAATTATTCAGCAAGCTCAATTATTTAAATAGCAATAAAATAAAACTGACTTCAGGTAGCTGGTGAGGAAAGACACACTATGTAATGGCATACACATTTCAACAGCCATCAGTAAGTCATATCTCTAAGCACTGTTTTCTAATGTGTAATTTTGGTATAGACTTTTTTGCAAGCGTTAGCAACACCTCGTCTTAATATGTACAACTGAAGTTAAGGGAGACGTATACTGGCAATTTACTCCAATTGAGTCAATTCAGTTTCTTCAAATTTTATACACAATGCACAAGATTAACTTGTACCAACAAGCTGCCAAAGACCACCCCGTAAAAAGGCTATTGTCTAGAAATGGCGTGGTGAGAAGCACTAACTCGAGTTATGTAGCAATTTCCTACTAGCTTTTGCAAGCCTGTTTGCTTTATAACATTACACTTGATGTTGCATACCCTGACCTAACTTTGCAGCCTGTGCAGAGTCCTCATAATGCCCACAGCGACTCCAGTTTACATCTCGCAGAAAAGACAGAGAGAGCATAAAGAAAGGCGAAAGGTAGAAAGGTGAGAGAAGAAAGAGAGAGGAGGACGTAACTATGAAAACAACTCACTTGCTGTAAAGCAGGAATGGCAGTACAACAAAGAAGGATGCATATCACAGCTTACAACAAATGCAGCAATAACGTTACAAGAAAAATATGTGGAAAGATTATACATAAATGACATGTTATATAGTATTGTAAAAAGTAACTGGCTATAAACCAGTTACCAGTCCTGCTTAGGGAAGTAGCCTGCATAATTTTATCTTTGCTAACTGGTTCCAAATAGGTCATCATTAACTTGGTCTCAATCCCAAATTCATGCCTCCGTTACAACTTGCTATTTCCCACCTGTGGCCTGTTTCTGCAGTCTGAACTTTCTTTAGCCTTCATACATTGACCTAAAGGTTAGCAGTGACAAAGCACAGTGACCTCTCCTTTAATTTTCATTTCCAAAGAGATGTCAAAGAGACGGAGAATGGATAGGGCGGTAGACCAGGCAAGCATCTGATTCACCAACCTAGACGATGCTAAAGACAATGAGCGAATAGAAAAAGAATGAAACATAAAAAAACACAGCTGTTCATAATTTCGGTAGTGTCTGTCGAGAACGCTCAGCCTCGTTCTTTTCTCTCCCTAACCAAGCATTTGCTTGGTCAGTACAGAGAAACTCGGTAGCTGCAGCTCTACGCTACGAAACACACAGCCCTCCCACAGTAATGCATCCTTCTTTGTATTTTTTTTTTTTTTTGCCATTGGGTCCAGGGAAAGGATGTAAGGAGGGAGGGCGAAGGAGCATGGGGCTGTCTGGCCTTCACGGTTACTGGGCCCTGGAGGAGGTCCCGCTCATCGTTACGGTTCGGTGGGAACGATCGGGAGAGAGATCGGTCGGTGGCGCTTACCTGTGTCTGCAGCCTGGTGAGTCCCCGTATCCAGAGAATCTGTCCCGTGCGCTTGACATCCTGCGAGAGGGAGCCGGAACTGCCGTCCTCGACGAGCGAGGCCGTGGCGTTCATCTCTTCCGGTGCGCCAGATCCCCAGGTGAAGGTCTTGGGGATGCGCTTGGTCGGCACAGTGGTCACAAGCTGGCCCCACACCAGTGTGCCACAACCAAAGAACACACACCACAGCCACTGGTCCAGGGACAGGGCCTTTGTTTGGAAAAACACGCTACCATACTGCACTATTATCACCTGTACACGTGGGACCGGCCAGCATAACAGCAAGAGCACCCCCGGTGTAGTGGCATCAAGAAACCAGGTGGGAGAGAGAGAGAGAACACAGATATTAGATGCAGAAATGGGGTAGCAGAGAGCCATATCAAGACAAACATCTGAGGATGTAATGAGAACTTCACGAACAACAACTACACTTCGTACAAGAAAGAGATCTCTTATGCAAAATCGCTGCTTAAACAGGACAGCTGCTTCTCAAATGATTTGTTTCATAATTGGTTACCGCAAACAAGTCTGCCTCTGAGCGAAAGGAATTCTTGTAAAACGGAACACTTTCTTTCAGGTCCCTTCAGTTCCCACATACCGATAGTCGACTGTAAATATGTTTTTAAAGCTGTTCTCTAGGACTGCACAACAAAGATACTACCGTATTTACTCGATTCTACCACGCCCTCGATTGTCGCGCACCGGGTTTCCACGGCGAAAAAAAAAAAGTAAGACATCGATTGCAACGCGCACCAATTTTTCTCGTTGGCCACACAGTCACACCACTCGGGAAAAAGACTCCTTTCGGCGTCTTCCGTTTAAATATGAGGTACGGGGGAAGCTTGTGGCTATCCGACGTGCAAAGGAGCATTTCCGTCACTCTAGTTATATTGTGGCCCGATGTCAGCACGCGAACTTGCTTCGCCCCCTTTTTTCGACGGTTTTGGTGCCAGGCATGTCGAAGTAAAGAGGCGTCTGATGGGCATTCCCGATTTGCCCAAGCAGGGAGCCGTTGTTGTGCCGCAAGTTTAGGACGAACCTCTGAAAACTGAAGCTTTTCTTCGTACTCCTCCGGCAACTTTTGGCGTATGCGCGTTTGCCTTCAGAGGGAAAAGCCTTTCCTCTTCATAAAGTTAGTTAGCCAGCATCTGCTCACTATAAACTGGCTCCGCATTAGCCCTTTTTCTAAGGCTAACTGCATAGCCTGCACTTGGAGCAGTTCTGTCGTCACAGGCTGCTGGGCCGCACACTGCTCAATCACATACTCGCCGAGCAGCTCTTCAATGTACGGAAACCGACTCTGCTGAGGGCCGCTGAAGCCTTTGCGTGAATCTTTGCTGTCGACAATATTCTGCTTTTGTTTCCGCCAGTCCCGCACGCACGTTTCGGGAACTCCGAACGACCACGATGCAGCCCGATTTACGTCCGTTTCGGCACACGCGATGACTTTTCTTTAAAAGCGGCATCGTGGTGCACTCGTCGAGTTTTTGGAGTTGGCCCTTCCATGCCGTCGATGCTAAAGCACACCAAGATGACGAACTCCTCAACACACGTACGAAGTGCTGCACATGCGAAACCCATAGGCAGAAATGGCCGACGCGCCATGCCGACGCACGTAGGGGGCGGCCATTTTGGAATGCCGATGGCAATAGAATGACCGTATTAATTTTTTTATTTTTTCGTACTCGATTCTAACGCGCATGCGATTTATGAACTCGCTTAACCGGAAAAAAGGTGCACGTTAGATTTGAGTAATTACGGTACTTCTGTCATTAAATGAATTCAAACGCTGTGCGGCAGCCATAGTATATTGTTTAAATGTTCCGACCAGTTAAGGCCTCCCTCTAGTTGCTTGAAAAACCATCTTGAATGTGTCTGGCTATTTGGTAGCACTTCACATTTTTTTTCTCACAGACAATAATGAACTATAAAACAAAGTATCAACCCAAAAAGAAAGAACTGGGCCAAATTTAAGGTGGCAGCGCCAATATCGAAGTCTCTGCGATGAACATCTAAGAGTTGGAACTAAAAAGGTGACAAAAGGGTCAGTAGAAGTAAGTTAAGCACGTAGAAAGACGATTAACATCCATGCAGGCCTAAAGCAGTGTCCTCAAATACCTCGTGATCTTTGAAGTACGTAAAACGTAACATATTTTTAAATCATGTGCCATCGACAGCTTCTGTTTGGATGAGCAAGCCACACTGCCTATAACTGAAGGCCCAGACAACACAAACATATTACATTTATTTACAAGCTTTTTCTGACCAGGTTATTTAAGCATCTCTGGCATTCTTTAGTGAATAAGTGTGCAGCGGAATCTAATTTATAGAACCCATTATTATGCATTATAAAAAATGAAAGAGAAAAATTTGCTCACAAAATACTATCACAAATTTTGTCCAGCTGTCAAAGTGCCTTGCAACATTTCATGCGGTATCGGTACAAGAAAGTCTGTTTATAAACTGTTACCACTTAGCTTCACTGCCTTCGGTGAGATGCATTTCCCCATATTGCATATCACATCTTGCATGTTAGCGCGCGAGTCTGCTGATGACATGCTATTTCACTGAAGTCAAGAAATAGCTGTCTTGTTTTTTTGTAAAACAGGAATACCAAATATCTGAAAGTTGAAACAGCTACTTGCCAGCACGCTCACACACACACACACACACACACATAGATTGGGGGCGCTTGGCAACAGCACACAAGCCCACTGACCTGAGCAACTGCAGTGATGATCAGAATGCTATAGAAAATGGGGTTGGTTAGGAGGCCCTCAAAAATATTGCGTTCCCCATGGATCTTGCGGGCATTAACCTCGTTGAACAGGGTCATCATGACAAACGTGTTGAAGATGATGGTGAAGTGCTCTGAGAGACGCACGCCCATGCCAGGGTCGATGTCGAAAATCTCTGGGCCTGCACAGAAAATCCAAGCATAGACTATCTTCATTAGATTTCACGGGCACAACCATAAAAAAGACTGCTGCGTTATTTGTGTATGTGGTTAGTTCACAGAAAAAAAAAACCTCCTTAATGAAACTGCTGCTTAAATACAACAACTGCCTCTAATATGATTGGTTTCGAACTTGAATTCTGCACCCTCATTCATTTTTCAATCGACACGATTTTGTTAAATAGAACATATTTCCCTGGTCCCTTCAGGTTCCATTTAATGAGAGCATTTATTGAGAAGACGCATCTTAACGATACACTGAAGCTTCAAACAGTGGCTACCTGAGTGCTAATGATATCACAACGCTAAGCTTGTGCAGATATTAAATTTTAGGTTCGAAGCTAAAAGTGATTTTTGTCGTATAGTTTCGAATCAAATTAGAGTAGTATACATAGCATATGAAGAAAAATGGGCATTTTTGCATGACCTTACTAACCTGCACAATATTTTTATAAAATTAAAATAGGGCCTCTACGCAAATGCCCCCCTTTTTTTGCGTTCAAAGGAAGTCGAGAGAACTTTAACTAGTAGCAGGCTTCGACTTTCGGTAGAATGCAAGTGATAACCTGTAAAATACGTAACATTTTAAAATTTGCTACACTTACAGCACATAAGTCGTCATAACAAGCTTTTAAGCTTATTAATGAATCGATTTGAGGGTAATATGTTCATTTAAATGGGCCCTGCAACACTTCAAGTAGCCGCGGAATGGATACACTAACGAAGCTTATTGCCTCACGAATTTGTCGGCGCAAAGATATTTAGAACCCGCCTAGCACGAGTGGAGTTGTGAAGAGTGTTTGCATGCTGCAATTGCATTCTCTCTTCTCGTCCTGATGAAAGCGCTGGAAGCTAAGCAGGTAGGAATGCAGGGGAAAAGAAAACACGTTACGCAAGCCTCGTAGCCCTTAAGCACATCTTTTTCTCCAAACACGCAGCTTTTCAATGTGATCGCGCATGTACGCGTGGACCAGTAGCGGCCTCTCGTGGCGACCCGGTAACGACCGAGTGCGCCATGCTCAAATCCGCCAATGGCTGACACGATTGCTGTGATGAGCGATTTTCGAGCATGTGATGTCATTTGCCAAGAAAAGAGAGCAATTTTTAGGTGACTGAGAATTTATTGTGAATTGCAGGTTGCATGCGGCATTATAATAATTGGATCGCCTGTTCTCTATAGCCTCAACTTTGGATCGACCGGGTTTGCTGACCATGCTCAAAAAGTGTGGCGGGGACCCCTTCACATTCGAAGGGGGGCTTCGCGGCAGAGCGAATTTTCCCTGAATAGATGCTTTCACTGCTTACCACCTCTACATTCATGTGGCGATTACATGCCACTTAAAGGAACCCACAAGCAATATTTATGGTACCCGTTTTCCGGACTGCAACGGAAAGCTTACCGATCAGACCTTGTAATCACAGAACGGTAACGTAGAAAACACCGCAGAACATTTATAATCACAGTTTTTTGATTTGTGGCGATTATGCAGTTATGCAAATAGACATGCTGCAAACAGTGGATGTGATCGCGGTAGCGATTATACGCTAGTGTAATGTCAGCAGTGATTAAAAGTGATGACGTAAATACAAACACGTAATGTTGTGTTTGTCGAGCCTGCAGTTTCCCCACCACTGCTTTCTAGTGTGCTAAGTTATTTTACAAGAGATATAGAATTTTCCAGGAGCTTCTTATGCAAGTACTTTTGGTCGCACACAGGTACTTTTTTCGGCTTTAGTCAAGTCGAGCTAAGCCAAGTCTTTGAAAATGAAACACACGCCTTTACTAGTGATCGACAATTCACGCATAGTATTTCACATACAGCCGTAGTTGAACAGCTTTGATATGTCATCCCAAGACAACTTGAGCGATCTAGAGGAACGAATTGTGGCTGGCATGTGAGCGTAAAACTTGGGCCTCTATCGAGTAGCGCCAGAGCGACATGTTTGGACAGACGACAGCGGTAGCGACAAATCAGACGGATCGCCACCATCGCCACCACCAGCAGCACGCATGAAGCAACTCTCCACAGAGCAGTAGGCCGACGGCATCACACACGCCACAGCGATCGCACTCAAAAGCTCGCATGCTTCTTGACCGCACCCAAGGCGACGTGAATCGAGCCATCGAGCTACTGTGAAAATGCCGCGCGCATGCGCGACTGCACCTGTTTCCCTGCAGAGGCCATGAAAGCAACGCCACTTTTCATGCTGTACTTCTTTTACATTGTAATGTAAGCCACATAGAAACAAACGAAAATTAACAATAACATACACATTAGAAAATTAAGCTCTTATTCTGGTGCGCTTTAAATAATCACAGCAAAGTTATTAGGACTTCATAATTGTGTTTCATGGCTCTGGCACTAGGGGCGCGACATGCTGGTTTTGGTTACTTTTGAACGCAACTTAAAAATATAAATCGTACTCAAATCACGAAAAGTATGCTGTCACCTGTCACCATAATTCATGCTCTTTTCCAATGAAATCTAATCACACGTTCAGGCCAGTTGTGGGTCCCTTTAATATACACCTATTCATTCATAGCAAATACTCTGAAACTTTCAATAATTTAAATTCTAATCAAAACGAATTCAAATACTCTTTGTTTGAATATCCGAAGCATTCAAATCTTTGCACAAGCCTGCACAACTCTAATCGTGCACGCCTGATTTACCACGATACTTCTCTCGCATTACAGCAACCACAAGTTTGGAGCATAAAAAGCAGTACGAGAGGCAAGAACAACAGATTGTCCCCTCGATATTGGCACGGACTTGCATGCTCTCTGGTATCACGTGCTGCTGTGCACAAGTCTCTCAACAAATGCAACAAGGCTGACGGCCACATATAGCCTACCACAAAAGATGTAACCAACATATTACCAGGAATGGTACTTGCAACATGCAAAGCTCTGGACCCTTTAACAGACTGGCGCTACGAAAGATGTCGTGGTGGTTTCAACAGAGGCGAAAATGCTGCAGGCCCGTGTGCTCAGATTTCGGTGCACTCCAAAGAACCCTAGGTGGTCGAAATTTCTGGAGCCTTCCACTACGGCGTCTCTCATAATCAGATGGTGATTTTTGGACGTTCAACACCACATATCAAATCAAATCAAGATATAGTGGCCCAACAGGCATAATAATCAAAGCAACGCGAACTAGTAAAAGCAAGAATGCTAGAACGAGGCAGCGGGGATGTTCGTACCAAGGAAGAGCAGCAGGAATATGACGGTGAGCTGGTAGATGGCATGCCCCAGGATGTTCTTCATCATGGTGCGCGAGATGAGTGGCTTTGTGCGGCCGTAGGGCTTGCGCAATAACAGACTGGATGTGGGCAGCTCTGTGGCCAGTGCCAGGGACGCCAGGGTGTCCATTATAAGGTTCACCCACAGCATCTGCACCGCCTTCAGGGGGCTGTCCTGTATGCAAAATGTCATGCAGAATATCGTCATGACACTCATGCATCAGGAATCGTCAGGACACCACAAGCAGCTCGAGTAAAAAAAAAAAGTTATCACACACTGCACACAACTTGAACAACATTTTAAAACTGGAACATTTGATTCGTTGTTGTTCCTGTCTAAACAGCATAACGTGTGGATACTTGCAGTGTTTGATTTCTTATCACAGGTGACATTACTATGAATATGGGGCATCAAAAAGTGATTCAATTTATTACAACAGTTCCAACAAAAAAGAGCCCCTTTAAATATCATGCTTGATGCACTAGAAGGTACTACACACAATACAGTAAATGAGCGATAACACACAATTGTCATAGACTACCCAAAAGCCTGAATAAACAGCCTGAAGCATTGAACTTGCTACAAAACAAGTTTTAGCGATACAGGAAGCCAGGAAAGCAGAGATTTTTTTTTTTGTTACTTGTGCCAGGTATGTCATAAAAGTGCAATGACAGCCAATCTCATAGCCAAGATGCTTTACAAATCGCACATGGAGTAAACGGAAATCTGTTAAATGGAACTGCTGCCTCTGATACGACTGGTTTCGTACAGCAAGATCTTGACGATACGATTACGATTGAGCCGAATTTTGCCATGATATGAATTTTAAGGTTGTTTCTGGCAGACTATATTATATAAGATGCACCGTGATTCAGTTTTATACAAATGGTTTAGCCACCACAGATGATACGAACGTACGCTTGACCGCTGCATTCGAGCGGCGCAATATGGCTTGTCTGTAGGAAGAAGGCTCATTCACACTGGGCATCGAAGGAAGCCAATGCTGCAAAACTCACCGGACTTTCCCTCGCTTCGCCACTCGAATGGCCAAAAAACCACGGCACGAGGCCGACGCAAAAAAAATCGATCAGAGGCAAATTTCCCCGCCAATCGATAGCAAATTGCTTTCCACGTCGCAGCTTTGGCTGCAATACATGGCTGCACTAGCTAGAACCACGTGTAGCGCACAACCCGCTGTGAATTAAACATTGTGGAAAAGGCGGCGGTGGCTCACATTACGAACTACCCGTGCAGTCTGACAAAGCTAACGGCCTAGACAAGGACGTGTTCATCGAGAGCCTGGTTTGGATTACGATCGCCGAGAGCACTAAATGTAAAAGAAGGTGCAGCAGCAGTGAGTCGGCATGCTCCAACGTGTCTCGCTTTGGCACAGCCGGCTGAGTCGGCCGCCACCGCTGCTGGTGCGTCCACTTGTGTTTATGCTGGCATGTCTTCCTAACAATGCTTGAAAAGGTACAAACTGTTTCCTTTCAGTGCTTTGCATGCATAACCAGAACTCGGTATGAATTTTAATGCCAAGAAAACAGGCGAAATGGCATGAATTCTTAAAGTGGCGAAGGCAGCGGCGGCTTATACGAGGGGCAGAACGAATGTGAACATTTTTGACTTGCATGGACATATGGTTTTCCAGCTGCTCTGGCCTTTTCGTTTTTGCTTCTCAGATGTGAATGCTCCGGGACCAATTTTTTTGGTGCAGACTTTGTGGTGCGGACTTTGTGGTGCGGTTTTCTGGCCACTCGGGTGGCACAGAGAGTGAACTTCCGGTGAGTTTTGCCACTTTCAGGTGTGAACGCGCCTTAGGCACCAGCAGCATGAGTGAGGAAACAGCGGCATGATTTTATTCCTTTCAGACAGCTTTCTTGAGAGTCAGCGAAGGCAGTGAAGTTCAAGGGAACATTGTGGGCTTTTTAGCAAGAAGTACAGTAAAAGCTCGTTAATTTGAATTCCACAGGAACGCTGAGCAATTTCGAATTAAACGAAATTCGAAATAATGAAAGTGAGCAAAAATGGGTGGATTTCGGGGGTGGGGGCACGAAAAATATTTATTGGCCAAAAAAGTCGGTGATGACCATCTGCTTCTTTTCTCTGAATGCCACAGCTGCGGCTCCCTGTTCCAGCGCGCGGACGCGGCGCAGGGAATCCTCTTCACCCTCTTCAAAGCTGAAGAAGAGACGCGCCACATTAAGTGCCTCCATCACCGCAGAAGCTGACGGGCGCACAGGCGCTTCGTCATTTTCGTCTTCCTCACCTTCTGGCTCTTCAGCATCAGGCTGCGCACTGGCTACTTGAGCGATAATGTCCTCATCAGTCAGGGCACCACACACTGATGCACCGGTGTCAACTTCAACATAATCGGCAAAACATACGTCCCGAAGAGTGTCACGCAACGCCGCTGGCATGAGCTCCTCAGCCCCATCCACGTCGACGTCACAACTATCCTGCGCACTTCCAGCTGCAAATCCACTGTGGCTGAAACAGTTTGCGATTGTGGTTGCCGTCACCTGTTCCCATGCGCGCACCAACATGTGCATGGCAGTGAGCAGCGTAATGCCGAAGTCCTTCCTGTCGCCCGCGCACAAAATCATTCTCTCCTGCACGTGACGCCTATAAAAGCACTTAATGTTCCTTATCACACCCTGGTCCATTGGCTGTAGGGCCGCAGTCGTATTTGCCGGAAGGAACACCAACTTAGTTGCTCTCAGCTCAACGTCGACTTTGTGCGCCGAACAGTTGTCGACGACAAGAAGAACGCGTCTGCCGCCCAGTTCCATTCGCCTGTCGAATTTCAGTAGCCACTTCCTGAATAGGTCACCTGTCATCGAGGCTTTCTTGTTTGCGGCGTACTCCGTCGGCAGTGAGCAAATGTTTTTGAAGCACCATGGCTTGAGTGCTTTGCCAGTCACAAAAAGGGGGACCTTTTCCGTACCGGTCATATTTGCGGCAACCAGAACAGTGACACGCTCTTTGCTGCGCTTGCCGCCCGCACAGCTGTCTCCCTTGTAGGTGAACTTCTTGTCTGGCTGCAACTTGAAAAATAACGCTGTCTCGTCAGCGTTAAACACATCCTGTGGTGAATAGCTCTCCAAGTACTGCTGCAGGGTGTCGCTTCTCCAAGTAGCGCATGTTTCGGCGTCCAATTCCTTTGCCTCGCCGGATAACGTGCGGAATACGAGATTGTGCCGCTCCCTGAAACGATGAAACCATCCCTCGGAGACGGCAAAGTCTTCAATGTCCAAGCGCAGGGCGAAATCGGCTGCCTTGGCCACGATGATAGGGCCGCTCAATGCGATACTCTGGGCTCTCATTTCTTTAAACCAGATAATCAAAGCTGACTCCAGTTCCGGGAACTTCGCTGTCCTTAGTCTTTTTCGACTGGCGCCAAAATCCTCGGCTTCATAGGCGTTTTCAATGGCCGTCTTGGTGCGTATGTAGGTTGACAACGTGCTCGGAGGTATGCCGTGCTTCCTCGCAATTTCATATTTGCTCGAGTTCCCTTGGTCAACCTTTCGCAAAATCTCCACCTTCTCCTTGACAGCCTTCGCGCAGTAGTTTCCCCGCGGCATCTTGCAACTTCGATGCGGAATAAGACGGCTTGACGGCGTGAACGAACAACGTGCTCGAGAAACAAAGTGACGCTGCCGGGAGCGGCCTAGGACTGCTAGGACTACTCCGCCGACTCCTCAGCGTCCCGTGGGTCCCGCGTACAAGTGGCGCCAGGCGCTGAGATAGCGGGAGGGCTACGAAAAAAAAAAATGCTCCCTGAATTTTGGAGGCCATACTTTGCTCGCCCTTCGCTCTGAGGCCACTTGAAGCTCGAAAAAACTGGTCGTGCCACCTATTGTTCGACCGTAAAAGCTTCCACTAGTGTTTGACGATGATGACGCTCGGCGGCGCGTGCTTCGAATTATCCGTAGAGGCAGCAATTTCTGTTCGAATTAACGAATCGTTTTACACATGGTCTCCTATGCACTGCGGACCGGACTGCGGCGACCATTTCGAATTATCCAAAATTTCGAATTAATGAGGTGTGAATTAACGAGCTTTCACTGTAGTTGATCCCAGTAAAGTTCTTGTTCATTTTCATGATCAGCTTTAACTTGTTTTGGCTCATACGAATTTAGGACGATACGGATATTTTGCATTTGCCTACAAATTTGTAATATCAAGATTCTACCGTACTTTTGTTTTGTGCCCTCATTGATCTCTCAGTAAACAGAACTCCCTCCAGTTAAATAAAACATATTTTCCTGGTCCCTTCAAGTTCCATTAATCAGAGTATACAGCAATAGCAAACACAGAAACGGCTACTGGCACTCAAATGAGGCATCGCACAAGGGACCTTAGGACATCGAAATTTTCCATAAGAAAAGTTGTCAGGGGGGGGGGGGGGGGGGGCTCAGGGTTTCTACAGCTTGCTTACCCTAATGGCGCAGGCACCCGTAAAGGCAACAATGACAGCCACTGTGTTCACAGTGAGCTGGAACTGAAGGAACTTGGCAATGCTGTCATAGACATTCCGCCCCCACATCACGGCCTTCACGATGCTGGTGAAGTTGTCATCGGTCAGGATGATGTCGGAGGCCTCTTTCGCCACATCTGTGCCGGCAATACCCTGGCGGAAGAAATCACAAAGGAGCCACGACAACCACCAGCTTTTGTGGCACAAAACATGCAGCAACACTTTCACTATCGTTTAGTTTTTTGTTTGTTTATTTATTTATTCAATCGTTTATTTACTTATATGACAGTTAAACCACATATGTGGCTCATTACAGGGAGGCAACACATAAGAGTAACAACTGGCATATATGAAAAAACACTCAAGTAATGTCAAATGTCAACAATAGCAAAAAAACAAGAAAAATCATCATTAAATGTCAACAAAGAAAAATCATCAACAATTGGCATGATAAAGAAAACATTAACACACCATCCAATGAATTCTAAGTACCATAGCTGTCAAGCAAATCTTTAAAAGCCCTGTTCAAAAGCAAATGTTGAAAATATACGTTTCATCGAAGCATGTGTACCAAACAGCCGTGACGAGCAAACCCAACAGTAACATGTCCTGCAAATTAACACACACAAGGCCACGAAACTATGAAGCTCAGTCAACCATGAGATCCTATTTCCACTTAGTATGCACCAATGCAATGCATCACACCAAACTCTCTTGCTGCCTTCAGACTGAGTTTTATTTGCGACTGCTAGGCTTTAATGAGTAGGTCTTCATTAGATAATCACTGGAGCCGACAAGGTACGCCGCAAATTATTCACGCATACGTGCGCGATCGCAACGAAAAGCTGCATATTCAAAGATAAAAAGAAACAGTGCTCAAGCTCACAAGGTGCCCATGACATATCTTCTTTCCCTGTGCCATCTACCCCTGTTTTGCTTCAGGCGCTTTCGGCAGGATGAAAAAGGAGAATGTAATTGCAGGATGTGGCAAATCTTTGTAACTCCGCTCGTACAGGATGGATTCTAAAAATTTTTGCGGCTGTTAGTTCACGAAGATATAAGTTTTGTTAGTGAATCTATTCCATGGCTACTTGTAGAAGTGTTGCAAGGTCCCTTTAAATGAACATATTATCCAAAAATCGATTCCTAGTTTTTTTTAAGCTTAGAAGCTCGTTTTGTCGGCTTGCAAGCTCTAAATATTATGAATTTTAAAATGTTCCGTATTTTACAGGTTACGACTTGCATCCAACCGAAAGTCAAATCCTGCTACTACTCAAAGTTGTTTCGACTTCCTTTGACCACAAAAAAAAAAAAAAAAGGAGGGGGAAGGGGGGGCACTTGTATAGAGGCCTTAATTCAATTTAAAAAAATAATGTATAGGTTAGTGATATGCCCATTTTTTTTAATGTCACATATACTATTTGAATTGGATTCTAAATTCTTCGACCAAAATCACTACTCGCTTCAAAGTCGCTTCGAACCGAGAATTCACTATTCGCACAAGCCTAGTTTGTAGAGATACCAAGTTCGTTTATTTATTTATTTTTGTTACCCTCAATCGCCAAAGCATTGCAGAGGAAAGTGGGTTACAATGTGGAAAATACAAAACAACAAAACAAAACATGCTATACATCAACAAGACTAAAGCAAAATAACATTTCTATTTAGTGAAACGGAACATAAGTGAAACGTAAAAAAAACATCAAATAGAAATAAGGGAATCACAAAGAGAAAATATCGAATGTGGTAAAGTTACACAATCCTAGCAAGAAAATGTAAAATTAAAATTGCAAATGATAATTATTGCGATTGCTTTTAGGTTATTTCTGCTAACTTTATTATTTAGGACGACACTCATATACTATAACTCTGTTTTGAGCATTGCTAGCCTCGCTTAAGGCCTGTATGGATCACTAGACTTTCTGTGTGACGAGATCTATAGTATCAATGATACGAGGTCTATGGATGAATGACGAGACGGGCCTGTGAACTGCTACATACTAATAAGGCATCAAGTCTCTGCAGAACGGCCCCCATTCGCCACAAAAACTGTATGCAGCTCACTCACCATGGCAAACCCCACGTCTGCCTTCTTGAGGGCAGGCCCATCATTGGTGCCGTCGCCTGTGACAGCGACGACCTCTCGGTTTTCGCGCACCTTGCTTTCTATGATTCCCTTGACCAGGTTGTACTTGTCCTGTGGGGACGATCGAGCCAACACCCGCAGGCGCGGCCAAACTTTGTCCAGCAGCGCTTGTTGTATCTGCAAAGGTCAAGTCGCATCACTCCACTGCTCATCGCAGTACCAACACCCTCTAGGCTAAGAGTGCTTCTTGTACTATGATAAATTCTCAATTTACAAATTTTCTTTAAAGAAAAACTACTTTTTGAACAAAACAACTGATTGGTTACGATTGGTTTTGCCATTGGATTCTGCACCCCTGCTCATCTCTCAGTTAACGGAACGCCTGTTAGACGGAACAGATTTTCTAGCTCCTTCAGGTTTCATTTGACGAGTTACAGTAATTAACAAATTATTGTTAGCCATCCCATTTTCATGTGAAGCCTATCAGCCAACTTGCAGTTCAATTTACTGCTTCAGATTACTGAATCACAGTTCAACTGCAACCTATGAGCAGGTAACAATTGTGAGGGTTTAATGTCCCAAACCACAATACGATTGTCAGAGACACCGCAATGGAGCGCTTCGCAGATTTTGACCAGCTATGGTTCTTCAACGTGCACCTATATTTAAGCACATGGCTTTCTTTCTGGCACTTCTACCTCTATCGAAAATGCAGCCACCATGGCAGAGATACAATCCCGTGACCTGTAGGTCACCAGTGAAGCACCATAACCTTTAGACTATCAAGGTTATGGTGAGAATCACGCAGAAGCACTCTCATGATTCACTTGTGTGTCGTGGCATACAATATGATAAGGACAACCCAATAAAAGTACTGTCCAATCAATAAAAGGCCTTCCAATCAAACTTTGTTAGTTCGAGTCACGCAGCACTAGCTGCCTCGTAGAGAACAGGCGCCGTCAAATGGCCGAAACATTAGTTTTCCGAGAACACTACCAACCTCGCCACTAGAATCTCGTATCCGCCGGTTGAGCTCCTTGCCCTCGAGAACAAGAAAGTCATCGCCCGGCTTGATGATGCCACACTTGAGTGCAATGGAACGCGCCGTGTTGACATTGTCCCCAGTGACCATGCGAACAGTGATGCCCGCTCGCTGGCACTTGCGAATGGCCTCTGGTACCTGGAGGAAAGAGCATCAAGTTCATGGGTGCTACAGCACTGCATAAGCAAATGCCATTGGAGGCAAAGAAAAGAGCTCTAGGATGCCATATTTGTTCGCATAGGTTTCTGCGGGCACACTCACTTCGGGGCGTACGGGGTCTTCAATGCCAACCACGCAGAGGCAAGTGAGGTCCCTCACAATATTGTCTTCGTCTTCCCAGTCGGGCTCTTGCGTGATTGGTACCTCGTTGGCCTTGGTGTTTGACCCCTGTGTGTTAAACAGTGATGCGCTAGTTGAGCAGCTAAAAGGGCCAACTCTAAGGCTATGGCCCACATCCTGAAATATACCCCAGTACATTCCCAGACACAAGTGAAGCCCCAAAAACAGTTAAGCATAGCCTTCTTGCTTTGTTGAACTTTATTTGTCTTGATATCTTGGTAACAGAATGCCGGAAAGCATGAACACATTCAAACGGGGGAATGCAGGCCCAAATTGAAAAAGTGTGACACATATTTGCCAATATATCGTTAAAGAGGTACATGGGCCGTTCTTAGTATTACAGTTACAAGATAGTTCAAACAGATAAAGCATTGTTGCGTCCCGCTGCCAGTGACGTCTTCGAGGCGAGCGCGATGTCGCCGCCACTCAGTTCCGCGAACGCAGCGACTGTTGAGGCTGACCATTGTGTCGCGGGACGGTGCGCTGGCGCCACGGCTGGGCCCTGCGGAATGCGGCGGCGGTTTCGGGGAACGAAAGATTCGTCGCTGCTTCTTGGAGGGATGGGTCCACCCGGAACAACTGAGCATAGAGCTGAGGGGAAGTCGGGTTCCGGGTGGACGATTCACCCCCTTGATCCCCCCCTCTTACTGCGGGCCGCCCCTGCCTTTCGTGAAGTGGACTGATGGACCGAGATAGAGGGAGAGGGGCGGCAATGAGAGGGATAAAAAGGACGGAGGAGACGGCGGGCGCAGAAGGGGGAACAACGATGACCAGTTAACTTTTCTTTGAATGCAAATAAATCCTTTTTTTCAAGTTTCCTAAATGGACGTCCTGCTTTCATGACCTGCCTGATCTTGGTCATCCCACCCAATCTACCCCGACGACGCAACAAACTGGATGGCAGCGGTGGAATCAAAAAAAGGCATGCAGAAAACTGCGGACGGAAGATCGACTTCTGTGGATCCGGGATCAGCAGAACGAGACCTCGTGGCTCCGGGAGGCACAACCGTCGCAGTAACGGCATGAAGTTTTGGACGACTCCAGGAAACTAAGGACGAGCAGCAGAAGGCAGACCAGACGATCTGGGATCGGCGGTCCTGTGAACGTGGCTCTGGGAGACACGTCCTTCGCCAGCTCGAGGTTGGAAGTAGCTGCGGACGGAAGATCGACTTCTGCGGATCCGGGATCGGCAGAGCGAGACTTCGTGGCTCCGGGAGGCACAACCGTCGCAGTAACGACTACCGGAAACTAAGGACGAGCAGCAGAAGGCAGACCCGACGATCTGGGATCGGCGGACCTGGGAACGTGGCTCCGGGAGACACGGCCTTCGGCAGATCGAGGTTAGGTGAGTGCTTGAGCGATCACGTTTTGCCGGACGATAAGAACAGGGTTCTATCGGGCAATTGGCTCTGAAGGGCCGCCACAAGTGTGCGGTGAATATTGCAGAAGTATTGGTTGGCTCTTGTGAAGATATGGATATCGGAGTGTTAAAGAAAGAAGAGCTGTTGCTGTTAGCAGTAGAGCTCAGCTTGGATATCAATAGCAGGTTAAGGAAGCCCGAAATTCGCAGTGCGATAATCGAAGGGGGTTTCGAGGAGGACGAGCTCAGCGAGGCCTGGGAAAAGATATGTGAGGAGAAGAAACAAAGGGAGGAAGAAAAGAGGGAAAGAGCGGAAGAGAAGGAAAGGCAGGAAAGGAGAGAACAAAGACAGGCCGAAATTGAGCTCGAGAGAATAAAGCTAGAGCAGGCGAGATTAGCACGCAGTGCAGATGCGGCGCCGCCGCATACTGAGAACCTGAAGATGACGAGTTTGCTTCAGCCGTACAAAACGGGCGAGGACATTGGTCTCTACCTGATTAATTTTGAACGGATCTGTGAGAAACATTCATTTCACCAGGACACCTGGCCAGAGCGGTTGCTTGCGTTGTTACCGGGTGAGGCCTCGCAGGTCGTGGCCAGACTGAGCGCAGCCGAGGCAGGCGTATACAGTTCAGTGAAGTCGACATTACTCGCAAAATACAGGCTCTCCACAGAGGAATTTCGGAGGAGATTTAGACGGGAAAGAAAGAAGCCTGGTGAAAGCTTTGTTGAGTTTGCGTGTAGCCTGAGTGATAATTTTTCAGAGTGGGTGAAAGGAGCAGGTGCGGATAACTTAAGTAAACTGAGGGATCTAATTTGTTTGGAGCAGTTTTATGACACCCTGCCGGATAACGTGCGCCTGTGGGTCAAGGATAGGCAGGAAGGTGTGTCTGTTAGGAGTGCAGCACAGCTTGCCGACGAGTACGTGGCCAGTCGAGGCTTCAGGACCCCGATCAACAGCGCACATCACTATCAAAGGCCTGCACCACGGCCCCAAGCTTACACTCGAGGACCGCAAAGCGCAACAAAAGAGCGAGAGGAAACTAATCAAAATTCGGCGCGTGCTGAAGGCAAGCTGAAAGAGCAGGAAAAGAACAGAAAGGAGGTCAGAAATCATTTAGAAGAGTTAGAGTCGCGAGCTAAGGCGCTATGTTTCAAGTGCAACGAAACAGGTCACTTTGCCCGAAACTGCTCAAAAGGTAGGCCAGTGTTTGCTTGCGTAAGCGATCACCCGAGTAACCTAGATCTTTTGAAACCTTACACGACAGATTTAATGGTTAATGACAAAAGGTGTAGGGTACTCAGAGACTCCGCGGCCACTATGGACGTAGTCCATCCGAACTACGTAAAAAGTGAAGACTACTTATCCGAATGCGCGTGGATAAGACAGGCCGTCAGCGAAGATTCAGTGTGTTTACCTATGGCAAAGGTACACATTCGGGGTCCTTTTGGAGCGATCGAGACAGTAGCAGCAGTCTCCCGTGGGCTACCAGAGGGCTACCCGTACCTTTTCTCGAACAGCTCGGAGTCACTACTCAACGACAGGGGGTGCACTTTTGCTGATGCCCAGGTCATGGCTTTGACGAGATCGAAAGCACGCGTATTGGCTCAGCAGCTGCGTTACGGGGAAGGGGAAGGTGCCAAAGCGAAAGAGTTAACAACTGAATCCGAAGAAGTTAAGCCCGACGAGGCACTTATCCCTATTCCTCCGACCGAAAATCCGGAAAATGGTCAGATTAAGAAGCCGATAATTGAGAAAAGAAAGAAACCTTCGAAAGGAAAAGATCATAGTTTGCAGGGGTCCGTGTTGGCCCCAATCTCGCACAGCTACGAGCGCATGCTAGGGGTTGACAGGGAAGCGTTACGGCTGTCTCAGAAAACTGACCCTAGTATAGCGGTTATGAACAACGGAAACAGTGAAGGTGTTTCGTCAAGAAACATCTCTTTCGAAGTGAGGAACGGTATCCTATATCGTAAATACCGAGATAGGCGAGGGCAGTGCTACGATCAATTGGTGGTGCCATCACCATACCGCAAGGACCTACTCAGTCTTTGTCACGATCACTCATGGGCAGGACACCTGGGCATAAATAAAACCAAGAAAAGATTGCTACAGGAATTTTATTGGCCGGGGTGTTTCAGGGACGTGCAGAATTTCGTGAAGACTTGTGACGCTTGCCAGAGAGCCGGTAGGTCTAACGACAAATGGAAGGCCCCGATGGTAAAAGTGCCCATTATTTCTGAGCCCTTCCGCAGAGTTGTTGTAGATTTGGTGGGGCCGTTGCCGAAAACAAGTGCGGGGAACAGATACATTCTCACACTATTGTGTCCTGCAACGAAGTTCCCCGAGGCGGTGCCCTTACAGGAGGCAACTTCGGTCGAGGTAGTCGATGCGTTGCTTTCTATATTTTCGCGCCTCGGTTTCCCTGCCGAAATGCAATCGGATCAGGGAACCGTTTTCACGAGTGCTCTCACGACCATGTTTCTCGAGAAATGTGGCGTTAAAATTTTGCATAGCTCGGTTTACCACCCACAAAGCAACAGTGTGGAGAGATGGCATGCTACCCTAAAAAAAGTATTGAGAGCTGTTTGCCATGAAAGGAAGTGTGATTGGGATGGTTGTTTACCGGGCACGCTGTTTGCGTTGCGCACAGTGCCACACGAGGGAACCGGGTTCGCACCGGCAGAGCTGGTGTATGGCCGGAATCTTCGAGGTCCGCTGAGGCTAGTCCGCGAACTGTGGGAGGATGATCGGGGGCCTAAATGTGTGATCGAGTATGTGTTGAACCTAATGCAAAGGTTACATAAGTGTCGTGAGATCGTGAAGGGCAACCTAGAGGCGAGGCGAGACGCTTCAAAGCGCTACTATGATAGAAATGCCAGGACGCGATCATTCAACCCGGGCGACAAAGTGATGATATTGAGGCCTAATCGCCAGAATAAACTGGAAGTCCACTGGGATGGACCTGCCGAGGTTATCAGTCGCCTTTCGGAAGTAAACTACACCGTGAGGTTACCTGGAAGAAAACGCGAGGACAGGGTCTACCACGTAAACCTAATGAAGCCATTTTTAGAGCGAGCAGCAATTGTTAGCATCGCCATGAATGTTTCAGAAGAGGTTTCTCTAGAGGTACCTTGTTTTCCTGGGAACACGGGCCCTAGTGTAGAAGAGATAATCGCGTGTGCAGTTAACAAAGACGAGTTGGGTACAGCTAAAGTCGAGGATCTGAAGAGCCTTATTCTGGAATATCTGGAATGTTTTGGGGAAAGGCTCGGAAGGACTCATTTGGTACAACATGATATCGAGCTGACTACAGAGGTCCCTTTTAGCTCGAAGGCGTACCGCGTGTCTCCGCGACAGCTGGACTTAATGAAGGCGGAAGTTAAAAGGATGCTTCGCCTTGGCGTGATCAAAGAAGCATATAGTGACTATTGCTCCCCTTTGATGTTGGTCGAGGTGCCGGGGAAAGAACCACGGCCATGCGTCGATTATCGCAGGTTGAATGCGATCACAAAAGACCAGGTGTACCCGTTGCCTAACATAGAGGAAAGGGTGGAGCTGGTAAGCCGGGCTACCTTCATTTCAACCCTAGATTTAGTGAGAGGATATTGGCAGGTGCCCTTAACTGAACGAGCAAGTCGGTATGCAGCATTTGTAACACCCTTTGGCGTTTATCAGCCCGTCACCATGGCCTTTGGTTTGAAAAACGCACCCTTCTGTTTTTCAAGGTTAATGGATCGGGTGCTAGAAGGACTAGAAGAATTTGCGGTGCCATATCTAGACGACGTGGCCGTATTTTCTAATGATTGGGAGTCTCATTTGCAGCACACACGAACGGTGCTTGAAAGAATCAAAGGGGCGGGCCTGACTATTAAAGCCGAGAAGTGTCAGTTCGGCCAAGCCCGTGTCACGTATTTGGGACACGACATAGGGCAGGGAAAACGGGAACCAATGAAAGCCAAAGTAGCTGCGATAGTCAACTTCCCAAGACCCGTAAACAAAAGGGAGGTGCGAACATTTCTAGGAATGACAGGCTATTACCAGCACTACATTCCAAATTATTCGGAGCTCGCCAGCACGCTAACCGACAGCCTGCGAAAACCTGAACCGGAAGTGGTAACCTGGAGCACCGAGAGGGAGGAGGCCTTCCAAAACTTGAAGAAAGCTTTGTCTTCTCGGCCCGTGCTTGTCGCGCCAGACTTTAGCCGAGAATTCATTCTCCAATGCGACGCCAGCAACCGAGGTCTAGGTGTCGTCTTGGCCCAACTTAACGAGGGAGGTGAAGAGCATCCGGTGCTCTATCTCAGTCGGAAGCTGACTCCCCGAGAAGAGGCTTTCAGTGCCTCGGAGAAAGAATGTTTGTCCATTGTGTGGGCCATTCAAAAACTAGGATGCTATATTCAAGGCACAAAATTCACGGTCGAGACTGACCACTGCCCGCTTTCATGGCTGAAGCAAATGTCCACTAAAAACGGGAGGCTGTTGAGATGGAGCCTCATACTACAGGAGTATAACTTCGAGGTCAAATATAGAAAGGGGAACCAGAATAAGAACGCCGATGGACTGAGCCGTGGATTTTAGAGTCGAACACTGATTTTCTTGTTGCTGTTTCTTTTTTTACTGATGTGTTTCTATCGCGGCTGAGGTCACGGCATTTAGATTTTTTTCCAAGGGCTGACCACCACAAAAAAAAAAAAAAGAAAGAAAGAGAGGGCAATCATGGGGTAAAATTATGGCAGTTTTGGCGTCCGGTGGGCGTGTCGCTCGGGCACGCCGACCAGAGTGTGTGTGCTTGTGTTGTGTATCCCTGGAACAGGGTTATTGGTGATGCGAGTGCTGAGGCCCAGAGAGGCCGAGTGTTTGCACATGTCGTCTCGACGCTTCAGGTGACCCGACAGTTGGCCACCCTCGAGTCGAGTCTTTCGGCGGCGGAGGAGTCTGTTGCGTCCCGCTGCCAGTGACGTCTTCGAGGCGAGCGCGATGTCGCCGCCACTCAGTTCCGCGAACGCAGCGACTGTTGAGGCTGACCATTGTGTCGCGGGACGGTGCGCTGGCGCCACGGCTGGGCCCTGCGGAATGCGGCGGCGGTTTCGGGGAACGAAAGATTCGTCGCTGCTTCTTGGAGGGATGGGTCCACCCGGAACAACTGAGCATAGAGCTGAGGGGAAGTCGGGTTCCGGGTGGACGATTCACCCCCTTGATCCCCCCCTCTTACTGCGGGCCGCCCCTGCCTTTCGTGAAGTGGACTGATGGACCGAGATAGAGGGAGAGGGGCGGCAACGAGAGGGATAAAAAGGACGGAGGAGACGGCGGGCGCAGAAGGGGGAACAACGATGACCAGTTAACTTTTCTTTGAATGCAAATAAATCCTTTTTTTCAAGTTTCCTAAATGGACGTCCTGCTTTCATGACCTGCCTGATCTTGGTCATCCCACCCAATCTACCCCGACGACGCAACAGCATATAAATAGACGACTAAGTTTTTGGTCCGTTGTTTTTTTTGACAAAGTTCTTGGCTCTTTCAAATGTCGAATGTGATTCTATTCTTTATTATGAAACACAAATTTCGACTGAAATATCTAGTTATAAAATTAGTAAAAATTGCAATATATGCATTATAACCCAATCGTAAGACTTGTCACCAAGTAATAATGTCAATAATGAAACTCCTCTGTCTGATACTTTTTTTCAGTAAAGCAATTGATCACTTCTTACACTATCTTTTTTGCCATTGTCTTTCCAAATGTTCAATTTCTTGTCCTCGTGCACCAAATTGGACACCAATGTACCACACAGCCGTTTCTTTTTTTTAGGCACGGTAATGAACAACACAATTTACGATGACAAGTGAATGCAGCTCACCGTCAGGATGTAGTCCTTATAGGCAATGCATATGGTTCGCAGCCCATTCGATGCCATCGGCTCGATGACTGACCTCACCAGGCGATCCTGGTCCTCTTGCCTAAAGTTCTCCAGTTGACCGTTGGCTCCAAAGATGAAGCTGCACCTAAATGCAAACGAGTCATGTCCATCGATATGAGTTGTATAAAACAAAGAAAAAACTTTTTGTGTCAAAATATTCTTAAACAAGCAACTGAATATAGGGAAAACAAAAAGCATAAAAATGCTGCACCCCATCTAAAAGAAAGTAGGGGTGCGTGAATAAGTGAATACACAAGTCAAACAGTGATGATACCGCATTGAATAAGAAAATGAATCAAATACTACTTGAACAGTTTTCAACTAGTGAGTCAAGGACTCTCAAAACAGCCCTATAATTCCACATTTCATTTGAAACAAATTCACAAACTTAAGCAAAAAAAAATAATCTTGCGATCACCTCCAATCAACAAAATACAATTATGTAAATTGAGGTAAGCCTGTATACAACAGCGACTAGTGCCTTCAAGATATTTCTCAAGTGTGCAGCAGTTCATTTTATGGTAAGAACAAGACTGTATATCTCAGGAGTATGCGAGAAAAAATTTCAATATATTGCCGGGAGCCTTGCCAACAAAACCACTAATCTCATGACGATGATAATAGTTAGTTGATGATACTTTAGCTTCAGTGGCTCTGAGGTTTTAAGCAGAAGTGTTTTCGTCCAGGGATCAAGATGGCATCAATGTGTCCTAGCAATTCAATGATTAAAACTAGGGGTGTGCAAATATTTGAAGTTTAGAATATTTCTTGACTAGCGTTTGCTACTTGATTAGATTCGCACTGGAATTTTTACTATTCGAACTTCCCGAAGACGAATGTAGTCAATGTTTCATTAAGTGACCCCTTCAAATCTTTATCATGCTTCACTTCGTATCATTCTCGTATTGCGGCAAAGCTGCCTTTCAAGCTCCACTACGAATGAATTTTTTAAAGACAAATGCAATTTGCTTAAAAACCACTCATTCAAATTTTATAAATGCTTCACCTCATCACACTACCAAATTACGACAAAAGCTGTCTTTCAGGCTCTGCTACAGCCACGAATGTACAGACTCCAGGAAATGCTGGTTCTAACATGAATATATTAGATGTGGCCGAGTCGGGTGTTCAAATAATGCTGTACGGAACCTGAAATTTGGAAAGGAAGCGCGAAAAATCGGACGCCGGAGATTTTTAGCATCCGAAATCGCAAATGTTCAGGTATGTTAACATCAACGAGGCGGATCTGGAACTCGTAACTTCAAGGGAGCGCCACCCTGTCAGCCACATCAGCTGGACTCTCACAGAAGTTGAAGGAGGAAGAGAGGCTGAGGGGATAGCATCCTTGCCTTTCACGTGTGACGTGTTGTCGGCAACACTTTGGCGGCACGAAATCATGCACTAATACGATTCGGCCTCTGCATTGCCTCACTATTGATGAGACAACTATGAAATACCATCCAGCCAGCACTTCATCAACCCAGCTAAAAGAAAAAGCATCATGTTGCTATACGTCGTAAGTAGGTGCTTAGGAATTTTATCAAACTTTTTTTCCCCTGCAATTTAGCTTCAAACTATTCGAAAAAGATTCTAGAAATATTTGAGAAATACTATTCAAAAGATATTGATTCACACTTAGACTTTATTATTTTAATTCGTTTCTGACGCAAAAATTTGCTATTTGCACAGCTCTAATGAAAACAAAAGAATTGCTGGTTGCAGTTCTAATGCATTGCTCCTTTGATGTTTTCTAATCAGTGACAATTATTTTATAAATACGTGAAAAATACTTAGTATTTCAAACATGCAATATTTTACGTAAATGCTGAATTCACTAGAATACTACAGATTCATTATTCAAAGTTTCTCAATATTCGCACACCCCTAATAAAGGATTTACTTATATTGGATTGATTAAGCCAAAATCTGTAGGTGCAAGAGACTGTCAGTAACTTGCCCGATCATAAGCGACACATTCATGGGCAGCACCTATCAGGCAGCAAATTCTGAAGGCTCATTCACACCGGCGACTAGTTCACAAAGCTCAGTCACTGGCTGCTCAATTTTTCAGTCGCGCAGCTGCAGTTGCAACACTCTAAGCCAATCATATGTGTAGGAACAGGACATAAGCTTATTTTATGAGACAATGGCAATGCAAGCTATATACGAGCAGACTCAAATTCGATGTCGTGATGTATACAAGTCACATGCAGTTGTGCACACTGGCCGCTCCGAGTCGCTTTTTGGCCGTCAGTAGCAGAACGGTTATGCAACCAGTGCTAGTCGCAGGTCTGAATGAGCTTTAACTCTGCGTGCGGTTCTCAAAGCAGCGTGGCGAGTGAGCTCACTTCTTCATGACGATTTCGGACGCTCCTTTGGTGTAGACGCGAAATCCTCGGCCACCATCGAGAGGGATGACTGTGCTCATGGATTTTCGGACCGAGTTGAAGGTGTACACCTTGTGCAGCATCTCCTCGGGGATGTCGTCCCGCACGCTCTGGTAGTCCTTGCCCAGGTCAAGCACGAAGCCCAACAGGGCGCACTCAGTCTTGTTTCCCACTTGCTTTGGAAGTTCGCCCGGGTTCTCGGCAGCCTGAAATGGTGTAGTGGTGGGACATCACACCACAGGTGACATCCCCTAGTGGGTGCTTTGTGCATTCTGCATACATATTAGAAGAGCCAAAAAGAATTATACTAACACAATTGTGCACCAGCCAGCTTTTCCCAATCCTCTTCCATTACCGTCTTCATCTTACATGTCTACTAACAATATGTAGACAGCCACAATAGTATTGTTAAATATTGACAGCAATAATATCGTCAATACTTTGAAGTGCCCATAGCTCAGTTTTTTCAGGGACAAATGGGTGTAAGCATTTCCATTCATCAAAGCAGATGCTTGCAAGTTCAACATAAAACTTTTAGAGGTTTAGGGTAGCGTTAGGAATGAAAGAAACATCTAGAGATAGAAGTGGAGGCTATAAGCTTTGGCAGCTTTACAAGTAAGCATGCTGAGAAAGTAATACGGAATTTTCACCACTCCGTCATAGGTCCTTTTTGAAATTTTTTATAAATAATGTACACTATGTAGAGAATCAAAATATAACTGATCATAAGTGCAAGTATGCATATATTTAACTAAACAAATGTGAGCTATGTAGCTTTAATGTAGTTTGTGAAATTCATCCCCAAATTTGGAAAAAAAAAAAAAAAACAGCTGAGCAGGTAAGCGTGGCACTCCACCTCTTCGTCATTATTGATTTACTGAGCTTAGAAAAAATTTTTACAGCAAAACTAATTGCGAATCTCTTCTTACCACTTATCAGGCCACAATATATAAAATTATGAAACATTTAAGAGGTCGACCAGCAATGCTTTGTTTGATCTCACATGGAATCATCCTGCTATATCCCTCTCAGACGGGAATTACGATCCACTGTTTACAAATGTGTCAAACTTGCATGGCATGATTCCAAGGCACTCAGTATTATGTTCCGAGAGAAAAAAAATAAGGGAATGTTTTGGTCTGTGCGAGTTCCAGTAATTAATGGTAATTAGCACATAATTAAGTATCTAACTGTCATTTAATCAGTAAGCATCAATTTTTGCATAAATATAATGAAATATTAGGTCCAAGTGCAAGAACCTGTTTGTTTTTTTTGGTTGCATTTATTTCAAGCAAAGAAAAAAAATACTCTTGAAGTGGGTCCTAGAACACAGCACGTCAACTGGCCATTGAATGTGGTAGTGTCGCTAAAAAGTGACCCTCTGCAGCATTACACAGAATAAATAACCTAAATTATCGGTATTTGTCAACTCGAGAAGCCTGCACAAATGTGCACACCACGTTTCAAGCCATTTGAATGAACACTTAGAGTGTGATGCGCCTTTAAATTTGATGCGTACAAATTATTGCACATGCAGCGGCTGAAGGGGATATTCCAGACCATGAACAGATTTCCCAGTGCAACACAGAGCAAGTTCAAAAGATAAGCTGGAACCAAATTGGCAACTCGCAGTATCATTACCTGTCACAGAACGTACAAGAAATAAAATCCAACGTGCTAGCTATCTTTTGAAAGCAACCTCACCACATAGTTTAAGAGAAAAAACAGCAAAGCACAAAGCAGGGATGGCACTAGAGGAAGATTAGTGAAGGCTTAGCACTTCTTTGGGCCATACATATTGCTACTGTAGGAGGAGTTTCACAAAAAAATTCACAATTTTTAAAGCTCCCACACAGCAAGCTTCATGCAATTTTGCACAAGTTGCTTGTTTATCCACATGGGGTAAGTCAGGAACTGTTTAGAATTGTTTGATTCATTTGTTTTACAAGCTTAGTTCCCATTAAATATGTTCATGTTAAAATCATGCAGCTACAATGATTAGGAATCCGATACGTCACAAGGGAGGGACATGAATACTTACCATAACTCTTGATGTGTAGGCACTGTTGACTGATATGCCGTACAGAATCTTGTCAGCCACAACAGCTGGAAGGCTTTCATATCTCGGTGATGATTTATGTAGAACACCTGCAGGGAGAATGGATGCACTGTAATCTTAGGCTCGCAGAGTGAAAAAAAAAAAAAAAAGAACATTTTACATTCTTATGAAGTCCAGACTTTTACATTCAATTGTAAGTTATAAAAAGAAAAAAAAACTGCTCTAATGAAAAGTGAACATCAAGAGCAATGAAGTCTTACCACAGATGTAGCTCTGCACCACAGTCATGCGGTTAGTTGTCAATGTGCCGGTTTTGTCCGAGCAAATTGCCGTTGCATTACCCATCGTTTCGCAGGCATCTAGATGGCGTACTAAATTGTTATCTTTCATCATTTTCTGAAAAAGAAATTTAAAAATTTAGCACAACTGCCAGTGGCATATGTTCAAGTCAACAGTTCACTCATAACTGAAATCTATCGCCTGTGAACATTAGAATCTTGCACAGCAGCTGCACCGTGAGCCACATGGATTCTTTTAAGCAAATTCTCCTACTCTTCAAAGAGCCAGTATAAAACCCCGAGGTCCAAAAATTGTCATAAAGAAAATATGTTCATTTTTACTTTGTGAACATGCTGTCCCAAGAATCTTGTGAGTACGTGCTATATTAATAAGAAAGTTACAAGGGCTGGAACATCAGTTTCCTTTAGTATCAGGTTTTCGCGTGGTTTCACCCCCCTACTCTCTCACAGGGAGCGGAAGGCATAGTTCGTCGTCACGACTGGTTTAGACCAATCGACGGGCTGCGTGCTACGTCAAGTCGTAGATCAGTGACTCTGTGTCAGTGCACATGAAAGGAGGATTGGTCAGGCGTAGCAAAGGAGCACAAGAATTGTTTTTCGAAATGGAGGCTCTGCGCAGTGCTGTAATATTTGGAAAACATGGTCAGTGCAGTGTACTCTACGAATTGCCAAGCTTCTTTGGGGGGGGGGGGGGGGGTAAAAAAAGTTGGCATCTATTGACTGGCCCTTTGAAGAAGTCATGACACAATGGACCACCAAATAGTGGTTTTCAGCAAAAAACAGAAGTAGAGGTTTTATTGTGCTTGTACATACATATATGAGAAATAGACAGTAAAAAAAGTTTTCATTCCAAAATGAACCCTAGAAGTCGCCAGCTATAAACCACACCCACCACCGCCGACTATCATTTTGCCATGGCGGGTTCGACGTCATGTGCTACACAGAATAGAGCCGTCATTTTCGATTTAAAGGGACACTAAAGTCAAATAACAATTTACGTTCGAGTGAAAGGTCGTTGTATGACGACACTTAAAATGACAATATTATCAAGAGCAGTGCCCTACTTACCGAGAAACCAAGGTGAATGCATGAGAAGACATGAGCTGCAGTAGGACATTCACAAAATGATCCCGATGACGCCAGCATCACAGCCTACAGTAATCCACTAGTAATCGAACTAGATGCACTAAAAAATAACTTTCCGTGCATCAAGAGAAATAATAAAATGTTGCTTGTGTTTTTGCTTGATTCATGAAAAAAAATGCTGAACATTATTATGGGGAACGGCGCGAGTGGTTCAAAAGTCCAATTTTCGGCTGGTTAAACTGGACGGTTTGTGCCATCTAGCAGGGCCCAGTTGAACCAAGCATGTCTGCCATTTCAGAGTCAATGGCAGGAAATCGTTCTATGGCTATTGTTGCTGCTGCGGCTCCCGCTGCTTTCGTTATGCTGCTAGTAGTGTCGGGGGGCCCCGCAGTGAAGTACGGTAACGTTGTGCACACCAACAGTGACGCGAAACATTCTGCTTGAGGAGGGTAGTTTGAACTGCGATAACCTGATTCAAACCATCAAAATAAGAACTTCCATGGCACAAAAGTAACACTAGGAGGTTTCTGGACCGCTATTACAACAATCAACATGGACTTGATAGCTGCCTTTAGAGTCCCTTAAAGTTTCAGCCACTAAATCGTCAAATTTTCAATGCAAGTTGAAGAAAGTTGCAACACCTCTATTGTAAGTGCAGCTGACCACAAAACAAAATTGTTGGCCAGAATACAGACACTCACAAAGGAAGTGGCTTGTGATGTCAAGGCTTTCGAGTGTGAAAGTGTTGCCAGACTCTCAGGTGGCCCGCGTGATTATAAATGTGCTCATTGAAAATTAAGAACTCTGCCAAATGCACTGAAGTTCCTTCAGCTTGTTTATGAAAACGCCAGGATTAACCAACAAAACAGATTATGAGAAAAAATGGGATATCACGGCCCTCTTAAATACTTTTAGCAGAGGCCATGCCAACACATTAAAAACTAGTCAACACGGAACACAGAATTTTCTTTTTACGGTTATTTGGAACCTTGCTAGTATATGCCTGCAATATTTTCACAACCGTATGAATCTATTCCTGGGGACAGTCTAGTGAACATTGTCACATAGCTCATGCCAAAACTATTTTCAGCCTGCCCAAGGAACATTTCAAGGAGAACATGTTTTATCGCAATGACTCGATACAGGACCTTCCGAATTCTAATTTGCACTTAATTTCCGCACAAAATTTTCAGAAAAATGCTGCGCAGGGCAGCACTACTGAGAGTTGACTGAATGCAACAAAAGCTGACGAGATACAAGTTAGACTGATCAGAGGAGCACTTCCATTCACATTGAGTGCTTTTAGAATTAACTAGAGGGGCAACTGGCACTGCGCTGCTGCTGTAAACATGAAAGTGACGGGATGGTTGAAGTTTGGATTTACACCGTGCACTAAGTGCCCGGGCACTTCGAGGATGCGTGAGACTAGAAATCGTTCCTTGCGTCAAAATGGTTTTGCACTGCTAAGCATTTCTTTTATAGTGTGACAGTGATAAGCGTTTCGCTTACCTTTGACAACTTCTGCGTCTATGTAAAATTTTACGAAAAGTAAGAAAAGTAGCGTGGGGCCACTTAAGTTGGAAAACAGACAAGAAGGTCAACATTGATTTCCACCTGTCTCTAGTTTCTTTGTTCCTCTCACAAAGCTTTTACCGTACTTACTGGATTGTAATGCGACGATTGTAACAAAAGGGATGATTATTCATAGCATCCAAGAAAAAACAATAAAATTTTGGAATTCGACTGCAATGTGAGGGTTGACTTGAGGCAGCAAAATATGAAAAAAAAAAACTTGTTACATTCGAGTAAATATGCTATACCCTGCGGATGAATGTAATTTCTTTCTGCAATATAATACATTTGAAACCAAGCCTTGCTCAATCACAGCCAAAACAAGCCTCGCTGTGCCGTCATTCCCTCGACGGCTGAGCGCATCTTTGGAAGCAGGCATAGATAGTGGCACCCAATTTCCCTCTAGGCGTTATTTAGAGAAACTCAGCGGCCACTCACCTTTACAGAGTAGGCGAGGGAGAGAGTGACAGCCAATGGAAGACCTTCTGGGACAGCCACCACCAGAACCGTGACGCCTATGATGAAACAGTTGACAATGTGCTGGGTGTCACTGCTTCTCCAGGGGCGACCCTCCGCCACAAACACCTCAATCAGGTGCCTCACCACCAGAATAATGACTGTCAGCACTGCTATTGTGGATCCTGCAAGCCACACAGAGGTTGCGGTACAGCGAAAAGCTCAGTAAATGAGATTCCCCGACAGTGCCGTAAACTTTCATTAGGGCTTTAGGGGAGCACATATTACTTGAGTAGTAGGAACGCTGCCACAAGCTTGCAGGTGGTTAACAAGTGGCGACAAGCATCAAGGTTGGAAAACACTGAAAACTTAATCTGATTTTGAGGTTCATTTTCCAATTCCAAACATCGCACAATCAACACCACAATGCTATGATGCACAAATTTCGCTGATGTAATAGAGCTAAATTTGAATATGATGCTGATTAAAAGGGGGTTCCTGAACCACTTCTGCAAGTAATCATGAAATGACCTCAGCATCAATGTTTGCTGCCTGACAAACTGATTACCACGAAAATTTCTCGAATTCATCAAGAACAAACGGAGCTACAGGGATGAAATCCAAAAGGCACGTGCGAAATCGCAATCGGCCTTGGACAAGAACGAGAGATTATCTGTCCTTAAAGGCTTCAGGAGTCCTTGCAGGTGAGCACCTAAACCTCGCTTCTTCGCAGAATGACGAATAATCGCATATTAGACACTTCCCTACATTGCAAAACTTACCATACTCATTTGAGTCTAAGGCAATAGTTCTAGAGGCGAAGCTCCTTAAGGTGTGGGTCTGTCCATCCTTCGATGGTGTATGTAGCCACCGGTGGCACATACCCGAAAGAGCGGTCCTTAGAATGTATGCTGAATGGCGGCACTTATATATGATGAATACATGATGAAAACATGTGAGATGGCTGTACTTGGAGTGTTCACTAGATATACGGATGGACAGACGGAAGAACAGATGTACGAACGGTCGCATGGAGGGACGCACGGACAGACGGATGCACCGACAGTCACACGGATGGACGGGGACAAAAGCACGAACAGACTAATGAACGCTTCGCCCCACCACTTATCATTCACTCCGTGGATATGCTACGATTTTTTTTTTTTTTTTCAAATTTCCTTGCTACAAACTGCAGGGTCGGCTTAGATTCAAGGATTCTGAAAAACATGCCTTTTTTTCATTGAGAAAAGTGGTGCACGACTAGCATCGCCTAGACGGTATTATAGCCACTGGTAGCCAAGCCAAGTACATGCCATTTCGATCAAGTACAAGCCATTTTGATCAAGTACACGCCATTTTAAGTACATGCCATTTTGATCTTTGTGGCGAGTGTTGAGGTGAGCCATTTGTCATTTCGAGTTGCAATTCAAGCGGCATAGCTCAGTGGCACCAAACAGGCGGTGTCATTATAATGACATTTATAAAAAGAAAGTCGTCCTAGTAACAGAGTTGTTGTCCAACGTTCAAGCCGGGCGGGACATTGGAGTAAGACGAAAAAAAATGTGTGTCGCTGGAGGGGTTGCAGCGTGGGAAGACAACCCGGGAACTTTGTGTGCTCTTTTCCGAAGTGCGGCTAATACAATGCGCTTGATGGCACTAAGGATTGCATACTGTTTGAGGACAGCTACAAAGAAGTCAGCGATGACCGAAACAGCGACGACGATTTGGAATGAGCGCGGCATCGGCAAGCACAACACCTTTATGATGCAAATAACTAGCAGCAGCGCAAAAAAACAACAACAAAGAAACACAAACAAAATGTTTAGCGGTTGTATGTTTATTGAGTTAGTATTTGCATCATGAACCACCTGCTTTGTTTCATCTTCATGTTAGATAAATTTTTCTTTTTCTGAACGCCGTTTTAGCTGTTTCGTTCGGCCTATATTCGAGGCACGTTTTCGTTTTTCCTGGCTTCAAAGATTTACCGATGAACCCGCAGAGCGTGCGCCAACAAGGGTTCGGAACGAATAACAGCTGCAGGAACTACAGTGAATTCATGGTGTGCTCCACTTGCAAAGACGCATTAACTTCGGGCAAGCTGCCCATGATGAACGGAAACTCCAGAGACCCATGCGCTGCTTCGCATGCTGCTCATGTTTCCCTTTAGTGGCAGATGGTGTGCAGTAGAATTTCGATTATACAATTACAGTAGATACCAATTTCGCGATGATACAAATTTTAAAGTTGCTTCGAATGGCCTACATTATATAAAATACGCCGTGATTTGGTGTTATACAAACGGTTTCCCCAGCAACCGTGGATGATACGAACGTGCGATTGACTATTGCACGCAAACAGCGCAACGCAGCTGGTCAGTGGGAAGAAGACCCATTCACACTTAGCCTCAAAGAAAGCGGATGCCGCAAAACTCCCGGGAATTTCACTCTCTTCACCGCCTAAGTGGCTGGAAATGCCACATGATAACAGATTGCCCTTTTGCTCCACAGCTTCAGCTACACCAGCTGCACTAGCTCTCAAACCACATGATGTAAACAGCCAGCCGTGAATTTAACATGGCGACAAAGCAAGTGAACTTCCAATAACTTGTGCCGCGTTCGCTCCCTTTCGTGCCAAGTGTGAATGCGCCTTCGAAGCCAGCGGTGTGAGTGAGAAAACCGCAGCACCTTATTGAGAGACTGTGAAAGCAGAAAAAGAACTTCACTGACCTTTTTCAGCAAGGAGTAGTTGACCCCAATAAAATTATTGTTCATCTTCATGATCAGCTTTAACTAGTTTTTAGTTCATACAAATTCAAAGCGATACGAATATTTTGCGCGAGCCCTTCGAGTTCATATCATCAAGATTCTACTGTAACCTTTTCTTTCCAGGTTATGTACAATCAATTTTTTGTTATCAAATATCTCATCTGCCAGGACACCTGGCCACTGCATGCAGGCAAGAGAAAGAAACAACATTCCGGATAGCTTACCAACATATCCTATTTGGATGGCCAACTTTGTGAGCTTGGCTTGCAGCACAGACTTCTCTTTGCGGGGATTGCTGTCTTCAGCCGGAGAGCTGGCAGCGACAATGGAATCCGCGCGGGCAGGTTCCACGTGTGTGTTGGCAGTGATGTTGCCCAAGTGCGAGTTCCCAGACATGGCCGCTTCTTCGTCCGCTGCAGCATTACATGCCGTTCAAAAAGTTCGAGTGTTAGCAAAGGAGGAGCATCATGACGAGCAGCAGTGACCTCTTTGTGATGATATGCCGCTAACGTAATGTGTAAAGGGTTACACTAGGCGAGTTGGTAGGTAAACTCGATACAGCTTCCTCCTTAAATTCCAATCAGTAGCGTGACTTTACAGTATTAAACAACAGTCTATAACAGCCCCAAAGATATAACGTAATCTGATCAAGCTAATTGCTCCTGTCTATGAGGTAATATGGTAACCCTGAGGTGTAGTGTTTTCATTTCATCAGATTCATCGCTAGGCTTTACTAGAGTAAATTTCGCCCAAGCGTTCCAATATGTACGCTTCGCTTAACCTTCAGCTGAAATGTTTCCCTCTCGAACATTTACACATTTCAGGCAATCTACTTCAAAACTGCAGTATTGCGTGTCATTCTTAAAGAAGAGTAATTGTCATATCTTTCAGCCTATTTCAACCATCTAGTTTAAGAGTATAAATGTCTGCAGTTAGCTTTCGCCAGGCCATTTACTTTCTACAGCACATACTTCCCTTTATACGAACTAAAAAACTGGCTACAGTACTGCTGTCTCATGCCCCAAATAGCGTCAAAACGAGCTGCCAAGATTTCAAATGGTATCATGCAAAAGAGCTGAAGTGCCCACCACATATAAAAATAACACACCGAACACATTCTTAAACTGATAACAGCTCAAGTGAGATACGGCTGCCTGGAATTAATATACGTTGATATGTGGGATTTAACAACCCAAAACCACCATATGATTATAAGAGATGCCAGTTAATATCCTTTAGTTAATGTACAACGGGTGTAACACAATCAGCATTGGTTATCCCACCAAAAAAATAGCTGAAGCACAGAAGCTCATGTCACTTGCATGCACACTGCGCATCACGAGTGTGGCAGGCACAGCGTAGAAATAAAAAAAGCACTCGCGAAGCTAATAACAAAACAAACCCTACAAAACTGTACTTCTCCCAACACTGTGGCAGTTTCAAAGTATTTTCTCCTCTGAGCGCCTACAATATGAATGGCTAACCTGTTTGTAATCACATGTTTCATTGAACTCTAATTAATTTTTGTCCTATGTACGACAATAACTTAAAAATCTAAATGACTGCAACTAATTAGAAGCAATTATAGTGATCTCAGTAGTACAAACAGCCAATTCATTATGTTAAACAGTCAAGCTCATTGAAAAACGATTTAAAACAAGCAAACAAAATGCGACTCTCAGACAAAAAACACAGAACCACATGGTGCAATGTGTGAGATGACAAAAGCATGCACGACGAGCGTGAAAACCCCGACACACGTCAGGCATTTACAGTGAGTATGATAGACTTATTTGGCTATTTTTGCATATTGCATATTGTGCAATCAGTAAGAAACACAATGAGTGGCAAGTGTGAGTGTGCTGCTCAGTGCAGAACCATACCATTAGCACAGGCATTAAACAAGGAGAAACGAGGCTACTAGTTATATAAAAACAAATATTGCAAGACCCCACGGGCAAACCTTCATTTGTGCCAAAGGTAGAACTGATCACCCAATATAAATGGATCTTCCAGCTAAGATCTCTTGCAGTGAAACTTCATGCAGAGGTCAAATGTCATGGTGAATATATTTTAGGTATGGTGTGCTTCAATACAATGCTTTGTTGCTTGGCCCGTCAAAAGGACAGACCGAAAATTTATTTCTGGGCTTTCACATAACAAAGTCATAACCGAACCATGAGGGACACTGTTAATACTATGGATTGATTTCGACTACCTGCAGTTCTTCAACACAAATCCGATGACTCCTTTGTTGGAGTGCAGGACAGTACAGCTGGCAATTTATAAAATGAATAAAAATAAAAATGTGTCTTCAGCGACACAGGAGTAAGGACTCCATTTTTCATGGTTAGAGAACTGTAACACTACGTATACAACGAGAAAAAAAAAAAATAGAATGGCTGCTACACAGACCATAAAATGTAGTTTTGTTTCTCCTAAAAGCAGACAATAGGAGTTCCTCCACTGAAAATATTGTCTATCATTTTTTCAGACTGGAACTTCCAAGTCGTTTGGGATGAAATTTCAAGCAGATGCCCAACGTGCTGCACAGTATTGAACAAAAACATGAAAGTCTAATTCCTAAGTGAATCGTGCAACAGTTTAGCTGGAAGAACCAACTTTTACCAAGCCCTCCTTCTCAACAAGGAGAGCCCTGTACATTGAACGCCACACTAGACTCAGTCGTAAGACAAGACGACACAATCCTTTTTATCCCAACATAAACAATAGCACACTATTAGAACATGCCAGCATTTGTGCCTCAGTATCCTCATTCTCCAAGTTGCCGCTGCAATTAAGGCCCTTCAAGTCAGGCGCATGCAGTGGTCTCTGTTCAAAACAGCCGTGCCGCATTTCACATTCCTGTGACTTGCAGTCAGGTCCGTGTACGCACGTGTTTTGCCAAAGCATTATGTGCATTCACAAGCCACGGGCAAGTCGCGAAGCATCTCAATACTTTTTCAAAAAGACTCGAGGGAGAGGAGACAAGAAAAGTGCGAGGTACATCAAAGGCATCAGTGAGGAAGGAGCCGACACCCAAGCAACAGAACAAGTGGGAGGTAGAGAGGAGGATCCCCGTTATCGTCCGCTTTTTCAGAAATTAATTGGGAAAACGAGAAAGACACGAAGGACAACCAAACAACAAGGGTAAAAAAACAGGACGAGGGCACACACTCTGGTGGTCGTTCTTGGTGAGGCATACACTACCATTTGGGTCGGGCAGGGTGAGTGGCGACAACTCCTTTTCGCCAGCTTCGACGTAGCATGCTGGGGGGCGCGCACAACAGGGGCGGAGGCGTCAGCAACAAAGCAGGGAGAGTAGATCGTGGGTTGGGAGTGGAAGAAAACGAAGTCCAGGGGAAAGAAAAGGGGGAGCAAAAAGGAGGATGCGGATGATCAACCCCGCAAAGGAAGAAGGAAAAAAAAAAGAAAAGAACACAATGTCAAACCAATGCTCAAAAGAAGCAAATCTGATGTACGGCAGACTCAATAGTACTCCTTTCATGGGAGAAAGAAAAAAAAGTTAAAGAAAAGAAAGATAAAGAACAAAGGGTAGATGCAAATCGTACCCTCTCAGACTTCGAATCCTGCTACAATTCAAGCAAAAGGCACGGTTTATGCCATGCTTTTAAAAAGCTGCATTCGCAATCCGATATCAAGAAGCTGTAATGTACGTTGCAAATAGAGAGGTTGCCACTACAATATTGAAGCATTGGCATCAATTAAGAAAAACATCACAACTTTTTTCTTTTCTAGAAAAACAGTTTCCTCTTTGAATCCTGGGTGTGTACGCTGCTGGAGTACCAAGTTATATAACGCAGCCCAAAATGCAAAACAACGAAACAATTCTTCATACAGCTGGAGAGCAAAAGTACTTTACGGTTAACTAAGCAGGAAAGGTAAATGCATCAAGATAGCACACAAGTGTTAGTATAAAAAGCTGCGCCTGGTAGTGTCTGAACATTTAGGGATGTCATCAAGACTGCAAAACTGTAAAATTGTTCTGCCCACAAATGCGAAAATGTAGCTGAGTTGTGATTGTAAAAGGCAGATAATAAATTAGTCTCCACTGGCTAGACTTTACTGAAAATTTCAACTGTCAAATTAGAGCACTATTAAATTAGCATGCAGTCACTAGTTTCATAAACTTGGGTGACATTTGAGCAAATAACAGAGAAATGGTTGCTGGTTTACTTTTTTCCCTCTTTTTTTACTTAAATCTCTCATTACTAAACAAACAGCATTTTAAAAAAAGTCCAAACATTCATTAAAGATCGTGTGGAAAATGTAATGAGTGATGCCACATCTTTATACTATACAAATCTTTTATATGTTTCTTGTAGTACACAAAGCTTTACTGAACTATTTCTAAGCTGTCTTCAATTCTGAGCCTACCAGTCGATCTTGACGTCGTGCTATTTCTCCCTTGCACACCGTTGAAGCAAGGTTATTCACACAAAGTACACTTTGGAAGCATTACGAGAAACATGCAATGTTAGTAAAACAAAGCGAGCAATCAACGTGACATTCTCTTTCACACATGCATTCAGAACTAGCGAACACTGCAGAAAAATTGAATCGCGCAGGATCTGCCGCTCTCTGCACGACAACGCAACACAACCAAACTCTCGTTACATGGTTAATCAGCAGGCTTAAACTCGGACGATGTAGAAGCGAAACATGCTGCATACTTATACAGACACCAAGGTAAGGTAACACACGAAACAAAGTAAAGCATTGAAAGCACCCCCCCCCCCCCCCCCAAAACACATACACAGGACTGCACCTTTCAGCATGCTTACGCCAATTTCAGTATTCACGAAACTATTTTTGCGGTCAGTAAAAGTAAGTAGCACAAAAACATGAAAGAGCTGTCCTGTATAGAGCAGTAAAGCTAAGAATTGGGGTCCTCCGATGTCCTCCGAATGCGCACCTTTGGAATCTCTTAGGATCGGTGCTTTCATAGTGTGACATTAGGTAACATAGCTTTTGGGACACTGACTCAGTAAATTGGCAGACCACGCAGGGACATAAGCAACATTTTAATTCGGCGCCACAAGGTTATTACACTTTAGTCTCGGCAGGAATGCGCTCTGGGTGACTAACGATTAAGGCGGATGCTTTGCGGCACTCACTTTAGACGCGGTAGCCACAGTGCTCTTACAGCAAATTATACAAGTTGAGGTACAAAGTTTGCGTTTCATTCATTGCTTGTGGCTTCTCCTCAAGCTTTCACAGTCAGTGTCCTTCCCACTGCCACAAACATTACCCTAGTAAATACAAGATAATTTTGAAATGCTCTTCTGAAAGCCTTTTATTTGTCTGAAACACCGCGGTCAACCTTGGCACTTCATTATGATCACGGTCACTGGCCAAAGTAAGCTCTGGTTAGTGGTACACATGCTCGTTAATCCTCGGTTAGGCAGCGCTTAATCTTACAGCACCATGCAGCAGCGCTTGCCACAGATCTACAAAAAAAAAAGGTTAGTATTTTGTTAATGTTATCATGCTAAGCTGTCATGCTTGATTCGGCGTCATGCTATTACAAAATGTAGTTACATTCAAGAACGACATTTTAAATGAGGAAATAGCAACAAAAAATCAAATGTGAAGGCATTCCAAAAGAAAAAAAAAACATGCTAGCCTTTGCATGCGTATGCAACTTTTTTTTTTTTTTTTTTCAACTGTCACACTGCCCTGCTACAAATGCTTATTTACCCATGTTCCTGAACCAAGCTGCTGTGAAAGTATTGCATCAAAAAGCAACTAAAGCCTTCTTATGCTCACTTAGGCTGTCCTTGCATTGCAGAAAGGTTTATGCACAGCAACAACAAACATCGAGAAAGCTAAGCCTACGTCAGCTACATGTTGGAGGTAAGGTAGCATCATCACCTGGTTCCCCTTTCTTCTTTCTATGACCCTTCTTAGCGTCTGTCAGGCAGCACACGATAAAAGAAAACGTAAAGAGAGAGAAATGGGTAGAAATAGATTACGAAAGAGGAGAAACAAATGAGGTGGGACGAGGGAGTCGGGAGGAGAGAAAGAGAAAAACACGGAATTATTACGGACAATCAGCACACACACCACATAGATATGACATGTGAGGTGGCCGCAACGCATTCACACAAGGCGAGAATACCACACAATCGCAATATTGTAGCCAAGACAAGGAACAAAAGACTGGGAATAAAGAGAACCGGTAAGGGTAAGTAACGAAGAAAATGTCAGGGTGGTTTTACGACTTGAGTGAGTGGGAATACAAGTCCAAAAGGCATGTAGCACCTGTGATAGCATACAAGTAAAGTACTTAGGATGGCTTTAGAGATAGCAGAAAAACAACCAAGTAGCTAGGATACCTTTAACTGTGAACGAAGATACACTCTCTTATAAAGTGCTGTAGAGGCAATTAATAAAAAGTTTAAATGGGGACTACTGCTACGTTTACGTAGGTTAGGCTAACAACTTCAAGTGATGTTTGGTCTATAAATAATACTGCTAGCAATACTGTAAGGCCAATTATTCCCTAAACAATTAAGTGTGTGTCTATAACTGTAGATTTTCTTGAAAAGCTTTAATATTGAACAATTTTCAGCTTGTTCGAAACTATCACAGTGTAACTGTAATGCTGAATAAACATTTGAAGGCCCTTTTTTCTTTCTCAGTTGCAATTCTTGGTTCCTCAATTACACAATCAGCAAAACACTACCTAATACATACCTATTGAATTTTTAAGTTGACACACCAAACGAAACGAACATAAATCAAGCATAAGGGTGCTAGTGAACAAGCAGGAGTACAAATGGGAAGCTGCAGCACAAAGCCCTTGATGTCAGATCCTGGCTACAGAGACAGTGCTGCACTAAGTTATTAGAATGTACAAAATATGTTTTTAGGTACACTGCAATGCAGCATGCAATGAACGAGTAAACATGCACATAGGAAAGTAAAACAGAGCATGGTTAATTTAACTGCACTCTAATTAAGAGATTGCGAAATGTAGTTGGCTCATCCACTTAGTTACGCATTAATTATGTGCATACGGCATTTACGATAGCTAACTGACATATCAAGCTTCATATTGAAAGGCATTTAGTGTTTGTGATCAGGCACCTTCAATCCCGCAATGCAGCAGGTGTGTAAAGGACTGCAATTTGGAAACTTGAAATGGACTGATTACAAATGATAAACCACTCGCATTTAGATTCCCTTGCAGATTGCTCACATTCGAGTTGAAAAGGGAGATGATGGCAAGCCAACAACGAACCTTTACTTTTCTTCTTCTTTTTCTTCTGCTCTTTGTTCTCTGTGTGGGCAGCTCCCAGCAAAGTGAGAATGATGCCTGCCTGAGAGTTGACGCCGACGGCAGACACCAGAACTTTTCCACTCCCTTCCATGACGTGCGTGCCTGCCAACATTGAAATGAGCGGCCATCAGAGCATTTACTCAATGACGATTGACTGTCTAATCACACAATTAATTGTAACAATCAATACTGAGCCAATCAGCCCAACTTATCGCCTCATTAAACAATGACAAGCGATGCAACAGTGCTTGAGAACACAACCTAGAAGTACAAACAACGGTTTGGTCATCAAAATGGCACTGAGCAAACAACATTTCATCGTAGATGAAACCAATCGTTGTTGAAGTAACAGTGTCTGGAAGAGTACACTGCAGATGGCAATGAACTCGATTTTTGCAGCGGGCACAGACAAATGAACTCCAGAAAACGCAAATGGGGAAAAACACTGAGCTGGCAAATTCATTCTCACAGAATTGCAGCAACTTACACTCTAATTACAGACAAAGGTGCCACAGATGCTTAACGATGAAAGATTTTTTTAGCAATAGACAAGTAACATAAGCCTCGACCCCAAATCAGCATTTTTATGAGGAAGCTTATTCTCAGTGCTGCAATGAGGACTAGACCTGCTGTTGAGATTTTAGCTATTGTTGATTAAAAGCAGACAAGGCTACTTGCCTGAGCAGAAGTATTCAAAACTCTCAGATTTAACAAAAAAAAAAGGCACACGGAGGAACCTCTTCTCAAAATATGCCTTACCGAGTCAAAGTGCAATTAGCTTCTGAACACATTCTGCATTCAAATAATGACTTTAAACACACAAACATCAATACTATTGTTGTTTCTGCCAGTGTGCTTCAGAAAAGTAAAGACAAACCTCAGCTTAACAACTCTTTCCAGTCAACTACACATTTGGTGCCAAAAATAACAGTAACTTGTGTAACATTGACTATGCCAAATAATTGCTAGAATGTATGCATTTTAGGCACCCTTTGATGTTAAAATACAACACTCTTCACAAACAGCTGGTAAAATGCAGATAAGGCAGAAGCAATTCTTAGGAGGCTGAAACAAAAAAAAATGGGCTTACCCGAGAACAACATGGGGTCTGTGTGTTCTCCCTTTTTGACGTGATCCGATTCGCCTGTTAGTGTACTCTCATCTATTTTTAAGTCATTGCTCTGTATAATGATTCCATCCGCAGGCAGAAGATCACCTACATGACAAGTGGTGTACACAAAAGAGAAAATGCAATCACAACTAAGGAAAAATTCATTGAGTGAGGAAAGCACCTGACGAGAGAGACAACATTCAGATTACTTTGCATACAAACTCTCCCAAAGTGTTTCTCATAACAACCAATGTATCGGCACAGCTATCATTGTTGCATGCATGGACACAAACACTCACAAATACGTCACAAAATGTCAGATTTAAAAAACTTGTTCTAGACTGTTGTTATCACGCCAATTATTTTAGGGACTTTTGGGATCCTACCTAGGATCACCCTGGTGTTTGCAAAACAGAAATAAGGTCGACTGCATTTGTAGGGCCAAAAGTCTTGGCATTTCCTATATTATTTGGAAATAGTAGTTGCAACCCCATGACATGCTCCATAAAAATTAGACCCGAACAGAAGGTCAAATATTTGCTTCAATGGATTCCAACAGTGTGGCAGAAAAGATCTTACTTCTCATTCAATTTGATACACTGAAGAATTTCTAGCTGCAACTATAGAGCATTAGGCCAGGTTAACAACACAACAGAACAAAGCTTGTCACTTTCAAAGGCGAACTTTACTAGTAACAGAGCAACTGTTAATATTCTTCCCCAAAATTACCTTTCTTTCTCATCAATTCGAATATGTACTTTCGAAAACGTAGAGTCATTGAGTTTACAAACACAAGATTGGCGCAACATGCACAGGAAATAATTACAGTTACCAGAACTGCAGCCTTACCAAAGTAGGTCTCACCAGTGATACGCACTATTCAATGAATTCAGTCTAAGTAAAATGACAAGATTACACACACAGGATTGGCAACAAGCTATCGCCTTTTTTTTTTTTTGCCTTCCTCGCATGCAAGCTGTTTAGTTCTAAGCAAACCTCCAGTAATGCATGTTCACGCACTGGAAGAAAAGCATGACATGCATACAGCACAAAACATTCAAATCAGTCGGCTGTCCCATGATGAGATACAAAAAGAAAGACTGCCCCTTGTGAAGCCTTTGCATAATTTTCTCTAAATTCAGATTAAGGGCGAAGCAGCCACATGACACTTTCAGGACTACTTCTACACAAGCGACTAAATTTAGACCCTTCACTGTTGATAAGGAAATTCCCAGCCCTGTTATCATCTGCTCTTCTTCGTCTCTGTCCAGCAGATAGCCACTTCTACTTGAAAAGTAGCACATTTATGCGAGGGTGATATCCAAGTACAATTCACACATTGAAAATTGTAATTAACGCATCAATGGGATCAAGAGTGAGTAGTAATACCGATACGACTGTATTGTACCATTTATAAAGATGGCTTTCTTTATTACAAATACACATGATTAAAGACAAACAATATATGCAGCTTGTTTCTCATGCTGTGCTTGTGTTAACTCAAACGCCTTAACTTGAAATAACTATGTACCTCGTCTGCCACTACAGCACTAAGCCACAGAAAAACGTAACGACCATTTAGGCATTACTGACTCCATTTTATTTCCAAGAATGATTGATTTGTGGGGTTTAACGTCCCAAAACCACCATATGATTATGAGAGACGCCGTAGTGGAGGGCTCCGGAAATTTTGACCACTTGGGGTTCTTTAACGTGCACCCAAATCTGAGTACACGGGGCTACAACATTTCCGCCTCCATCGGAAATGCAGCCGCCACAGCCGGGATTTGATCCCGCGACCTGCGGGTCAGCAGCCGAGTACCTTAGTCACTAGACCACTGTGGCGGGGCTATTTCCAAGAAAGTATGACTGGTCATATAATAGAAGTTGCGAGAGATGTTTTTTTCTTCAGCATGCACTTTTGCACTCTTATCCACAAATGAAAGAAGAACATTGTTCTGCAATTCAAGTGCACAGGTGCACAACACAGCTTGAATCAGGAGGCATTTGGTGTCGGGAGACTCTTGACCTAAAGCCCAGAAGATGACTATTAAAGTGCATGATAACCTCATAACAGCTTCCTGACAGCAAGCAATAATGAATGGAATACACAGCAGGCCACTTGCAAGAAATATAAAGTAAAAAATTGAGTGCCTAGAGCCACATTTTTCAGGTATATCCACATAAATTTTACACATTCACTACACGATTTGCAATTTACTGTGCAACCTATAGACAACTATAGATAAATGTTGTAAGTGCTGCTCTTACAAGCATACCACGCTGCCCGTAACACTTTTTTAAGTAATTGCCTAATGACCTCATTATCGGAGTTTGTTGCCTCATGACTTGACTGACACAGAATTTCCAGAATCTGTTAATTAGGAACGAAGTTACAGGGGTTTGTCGTACGCTTTAAAGTGCTTTCTCACTGCTTTCGTCTCAGCGAGCACGGTGAAAGCTGCCTAGGGTAGGAGGGGGGGGGATAAAGGGCAAGAAGCTATGTCTGTAAGTCAGCTGATGTCACGAGTGTGAGCCCTCTCTTTTTAAGTTTTCTTCGAACATACAGCTCACTTTGAGTCTGATAATGAGCGTATAAGCATAATTCTGTAGAGCACGGTACGGGCACGTCGCGGCACATCGCAGCGGCTGCTGTAACTACGCAGTTCACAACACTCAAATCAGCCCATGGCCATGTCCATTAGCTTTTGCATATGTGAAGCAGTTGACTTCGTGTATATGGTATCATTTGTCGAGAGATAAGCAAAAGGATATCTGGCCAACTGATATTTAATTGTAAATTCTTCACATCATACTGCACGTTAATGTTTGGCTTGCATGTTTGCAGGAGTCTTAACTACCGAGTGGCAACATTATAAGATCATGTTCAAGAAGTGTAGCACGGCCCACTCAATGCTATACAGTATGAAGTCTTTTTTTTTTTCCTCCTTCTCAAAGCGTATGTGACAGATACAAACTTTGGAACACTTCATCCCAGCTGTGAAGTGAAATGCCCACAAAATTTTCACAATTTTAGACAGTGCACCAAAGACAATCAGGTTCTTTTGAAATATGTTGCCAGTGTCATAGTGGCAACTAAACATGTTCTATGGCAACAACACAATTCAAGACACAAGTTCTTTTTCCGCTGCATGTAATGCAAACAAATTTTGTGGCTGAAAGGTTCTTCTCACAAAGTCGACGATGATTTCCAGATGCGCTCCAGTGCACCTAGGGTCCATGTTCCAAGTAGCCGTAAAGGACAATGGCTGCCTCTTGTCACTAGCTTGAAGTCTTGGAACAGAAATTGCTCAATTTTTGTAAACTAGTACTGGAAAACAGGATCTTTTTCCTATGCGTGCTTGCAACAAGCTGTCCAACACAGTCTCAAGCAAACAATCACAAGACAAAAGGTCAACGCCTACTGGCTAGAAGCCATTAGTCAATTCCTTTAAATAGCTTCTAAATCGTAACCTAACACCCATCATATAACACAGACATTAGCATTAAAGTGAACAGACTGGGCCGCTAGCACTCAAACCAGTCTCAGTGTCTCCGCAAGCTACAAAACCTACATCTGGTGAAAGCTAGAAACTATCAGCCACACTACAGCTTCCAAAGCTGAACACTGAACATAAGCGTAGCATACCATTTTTCTGCAGCGACAGTAACAAACAATGTCATTTGTAATACTGTACAGCAAGCTGAAGCAACATTCTTTAAGGCCATGCTAAGTAAATGGGCAATGACAATTGAGATCATGATTGATGCACCGCACAATTCATTGACAGGTACTGCTATTCGTGCAGCAATGCTCAGCAACATTCGGCAGAGAAAAAAATGCAGGCAGCAACCTTTTTCACAGTGTGTGCGAGCAAAAAAGTTAAAGGGGCCCTGCAACACTTTTTGAGCATAGTAGAAAAATGCTGCCGATCTATAGTAGAGGCTCCCGACAACAGGTGAGCCAAATATTATAGCGCGGCACACGGCCTGGAATGCAATATAAATTATCAAAGTCAGCTAAAAATTGCTTTCTCATTTCTCGTCAAATCACGCAATAATCCCAAAATGCACTCGTAGCAAGCCCATCTATCAGCCATTGGCTGATTTGAACATGGCACGCTCAGTCGTAACAGAGATCGCCTCAGGAGGCTCTCACTTGTTCACGTGTGCACGTGCAATCGCGCTGAAAAATCCAAATATTGGAAGAAAAAAAAAAGAAAAAGTATTCAAGGTCACAAGGCACGCGTGACGTTTTTTGTTTGCCCCTCCCATCCCTCCCTGCTTAGCTTCCAGCGCTTTCATCAGGACGAGAGAAGAGAGATTACGATTGCAGCGTGTGACAAATCTTAGCAACTCTGCTCATACTGGACAGATTCTTAAAATTTTTGCAACGTTGAATTTGTGAGGCAATACGCTTTTTCAGTGAATTCATACCATGATTACTCAAAAAAAGTGTTTCAGGGTTCCTTTAAAGATACAGCTCTCTTTTGTAACATGCCACATACTGCACACCACACTCTAAAAAAAATTGATTGATTGATTTGTGGGGTTTAACGTCCCAAAACCACCCTATGATTATGAGAGACGCCGTAGTGGAGGGCTCCGGAAATTTTGACCACCTGGAGTTCTTTAACGTGCACCCAAATCTGAGTACACGCGCCTACAAAATTTCCGCCTCCATCAGAAATGCAGCCGCCAAAGCCTGGATTTGATCCCGCGACCTGCGGGTCAGCAGCCGAGTACCTTAGCCACTAGACCACCGTGGCAGGGCTAAAAAAAAAAAAAAAAAAATTTGAGGATTTGCGGAGGGTTTCTGCTACACAACAATAATCGTCATCTACGTCCAACTCTTTTCTCGCATCCTCACCACAGTTCTGGAAGTTTGCGGACACAAATGGCACGTGCGCTATCAGTATGACAAAGAATTCTCGATAGGAAAGTGGCCAGCACCATGTTTTCAAAAAAAAAAAAAAAAAACAAGAACAAGTTAGATGACGATTATTGTTATGCAATGCAAACACTCCCCAAATACTTACTCAATTTTTTTCATAGTGCATCCGGTACTCAATCATCATTTCGTACATCCTTACTGCAGCCACCAC